TTCATGGTATTTAAGTTTGCCCATTGGATTTGCCTTCAGTTAAGCATACAGTTAACCTTTTTTCATTCCAATTAGTTGAAAACTAAGGATTTCCTTCCTTCTGTTTTGAACTGATATGTAAGAGGAAATCCGTAGATGTTCCTGTTTTGAGTAAACCTTTTACTAAGGAGTTCTGCTTGTGCCTTTAAAAAAAAGAATAGAAAGAAAGAAGAAGACAGTATTGATTCAGATGTAACGCTAGAAGTAGCAGATCCACTTCTGAGGGCTCTGCAGCCAAAGAGCACAGTGCAAAAATGCTCTCGCCCTGTTTACTTTTAACCTCTGGTTTGTCTTGGATCTGATTCTTAGTAGGCGGTCTTATCTTACAGAAATTGCAGCCTCTATCGCCACCCCTTTTGTGGAAAGGGTCCTGCCTGTAAAAGCATGAAAATGCATCCTCCAGGGTTGCTGTTTTTCTTCTTAGCAGCATGCTTCACTCCCACAGCTGACTGCCAGAGTCGGAAGGTAAGTCTGTGAGTCTTTGTTTAAATGTTCATTGAGTGGTTCTTCATATTCAGGTGGTTGTGTGTTATGAAATAGTCCTCTCCCAAACTCCTTTTTTTCAGTTACGTTTAGTTAGGTGCAAAATAACACCTATAATTAAACTTTAGGACTTTAAGGTGTCTTCTCTGCTTATGTGTGCTTATGTGTGTAGTCTAAACTGGGACTAAAAGTAAGGTTGAAGGGAGCTGCTTGAGTTTTAGATCAGATTCAATTTGTATTGATGTTAGGCACTGAACATGAAAGTAGCAATATGAAAGGAATATACTCAGCATCTTGGTCTTCCACTGTTCTCAGTAAGTGTGATGGGAGCTTATCAGCCAGCAGGATAGGTCCATAAGTTTCCCAGGAGAATTTAACTTTTTTTTTTTTTTTTTTAAATCTCATCAATTTTTCACTTTGCAACAGAGTAAATACCTTTGTTTCAAGGAGATTTCCAAGCAGCTCCCCAGTGAGAAGTGGGGAATACTTTCTGTTTAGTTTTGATCTTCTTTCAATTTTACTGACTTTCTTTTGACTCTTTTGTCTCCATTCTTGTGTTTAGAGTCAGCATCTAGAAGACTGTATGATGCCTTTGTAGATCTGTTCTCTAGGCTCCATGGTGAGGCATCCCATTTGCTGTAGGCTAGAATTCACACTAATTCATACTACATTGTCTTCTGCCATCGCCCTCCTTGTGTCCTGTTGTGTCCTGCTGTTGGAGGAATGAACTGGCCTACAAAGTCAGGAGCTGTGTGAGGCACTTGGAAATCTTATTCCCTGGAGATCCAAGCTATGGAAGGGTTGTCTTGTCTTGAATGACAGTGAGGGGCCTCATGGGGAGTGGACAGACCTGTGCTAAGGAAGGTGTGTATGAGCCTGAAAGGCTTATGAGCCTGAAAGGCTTAATTTACAAAAAGAGTGCTGAAAAGATGTTTCAGTATCAGAACTTTGAGTGGAAGCTTTTGTGTATAGACCCTTTTGTAAAAGGGCCATAAATTGCTAATAGGTGTACAAATAAGGTAAGAACCTCATAAACCTTTATGTTTGTAGGATCATTAAGGTGATTTGAGCACAAACATGAAGTGTCTTTACTGGTGGGTTTTGTTTGTCTGGAGGCATGGGTTCTAGGCAGATGGGTCCTAGTAGAGTAGTGCATTCAGAGGCACAGGCTCACATCCTCAGCTGGTGTGAGTGGAAATTTAGGTCTCTTCGCTCTGAGACACTCTATTTGTTTCTGTAACCACTGAGATCTCTGGCTTGACGTGAAACAATCATAATAAGTAATGAGTACCCCCTCAGAGAGAAGTGAAATGTTTTGAATCACCTCCGCAGAATTTGGTTTAATCCAGCAAAAATAACTCCCTTTCAGAGTTGTTGTTTTGTTTTCTTCTGTGTTTTGGTTTTGGTTTTTTTTTTTTTTTTTTTCGCCAAAAAAAGATTCCCTGTTTTTGGAGAAGGAGAAGAAGCATTTGAAAGGTTGTAATGGGAGTTAAGGAAAGATGAGGGTCTAGTGAAGTTTCCTCTCATAGTTTAGGATGGCCATTGGACCTGATTGCAACAGAAGTGCTGTGCTTCCACAGCAGGCCTCTGATGGCTTGCAGGAGCCTTGCAGGGGCTATCAAGAGAGAAAAGAGATTTAGAGATTTTGTGGTAGCTGTGCTTCAGCGATGTTACCTCAGGGCTCTGATTTGATGACTCAAACACGACAGCAAATCTGTTAGCCTGATTTGGTCTTTGCATACCTCATGGTATGGGCTGGAGAAGATGTGCCAGATGTGAGAACCATGAAAGTTTTTCTGCTGGGAGGAGGTCAGTCCCAGGCTGTGCTGGAGGAGGAATGGAGGAAGGTGGGAAATGAGGAGAGTGCTCTCTGCATCCCTGTGCCTCCAGAGCTCTACAGCAGAGATGGTGGGAAACACCCAGGGCAACAGTAGATCTTGTGTCATCTCTGAGCTTGTTTGTTCATCCTCATGCTGAAAAGGGTCTTCCTTGGACAAATGCAAAGCATTTATGCATCCAGGAGCTACTGATCTGTTCAGCTAAAGTGTTACTGAGAACTTCTTGGAGAGGTACATGACTATAATGACTCAAGCATGTGTCTCCAGCTCCATTTTGTAAAGGGCAAATGCACTGGAAACTTGGTGATTCATTAGATAATGACTGTTTCCAGAACTGGCTCCCAGGATTGTTGGAGCCAAACACTGACATCCAAATATGTTTTTCTTTCTTCCTTGAGATTTTGCTGTGCAGAAGGACTTGTGTTACCGTTTGGGAGGGAAAGATAAAGGGTGAAAAGGAAGGGAATGAAACTAGTCCTTAAAAAAACTTCCCCAGCCTTTTTTCTTGAGGTGGAATAAGAGGAGCAAGAGCACTTGAGAAGTAAGGGATGGAAGGAAGCACAGCAGCATCCAGAAGCTCAGGCATGTCCCAGCTAAGCACAGAGGACAGTGGTTGCTCATGCACACACATGTTTTAGTGTAGGGAGAGAGCACAGCCCAGCTCTGGCAAGACAGAGCATGGTGTGGCCAGAGGCACTCTACGAGCAGTGCATCATTGTTTTCCGTGAGGCTTTGCCCCAGAAGCCACCTCTGACTCCAATTCCTGTCTATCTTTCGCCCCCTCTGAAATTCATCTATCTAAACTGTTGCATTTATGTCACTTGATTCCTTCTTCTGCTTTCCTAAGAAGCAAAACACTCCAGAAAACATCTGCTTCATCAGTTCTGTCACTCAAATAAGAAAGGAAATTTTTTTTTATTATTTTCCACACAGCTGTTTTCTTCCTCTTTCCTCCTGCCTGCTGCTGCTGACACAAGCGCATTTCCAAAAAAAAAGGGGAAGACCTTACTGGAAAGCTGCCTAAAGCTCATGAATTGTCCCAGGAAGGTAGGGTAGGGGGCATTGTCTTAGAGACCTGCCAGTAATTGTGAGTTTTTGATCATTACTTTAATGATTAAGGCAGGAGTGACAGCCCTTCTCCTCTCCCATTGTCCATCTCCATTTAGAAAATTAATGAGGGAAAGAGAAGGAAAATGGAATAATGTGTGATTAATGGCATCTTCCTCCACCACCATGACAGAGAACGCATTTAACAGCCCAACTGTGTCTGACAGCCCCCTCCTGATGCTTGGACGTAGGGATGAGATGGAAGATTGGAGAGTTTTGATTTAGTATTTTGTGCTCTACTGTTTGTGTGGTCTTTTTCACATAGATAGGTTGACTTAGACACCTGCTAAAGGTCTGTGGGGTAATTCTGACAATGCAATTCATCATAACTTATAGGAAGGCATCTGCCTCTCTCTTTCTTGGGTGTCTTCACATTCCTCTTTCTGAGGCATTCATTGTCTTAGTGAAGGTTAAGCCTAGGATGTGGTGGAACTAGAAAGGCAGGAGATGTACTGTTCTGTCAGAACCGTGTGCCTGGCTTTGTATGGCTTCTTCCAAAAGCCCAGCTTTAATCTGGAATCCTAATTTGTACTTGAATCAGATGATTGGATGGACTTTTCCCCTACCCCATCAATGACATTGCTGACCTTTTGAGACAGAGCACTCCAGAGGCAGCACCTCATTTACCTCTCCATGCTGGCTGTCTTCTGCCTTCCTCCACAAAAAAAAAAAAAAAGAAAAAAAAAAAAATCTCTGTCTGCAAAGCTGACCTCTGTCCTGCTGGATGGAATTGTTAAACCTGGTGCTCACAGGACATGGATTGGTGGATTTGGCAGATCTCAGCTCGGTTTTGTGCTGTCTACAGTGCAAGGGAGTCCTTGACTTAACAGGTTCCTTGGGAATTCTGCCACCAAAGGAAGTGGAGGTTACTGTACGGTAAGGAAAGCTCCAGGTGCACAGCTAGTAATTAATAACCGCAAGAAGGGCAACCACAGGCACAGAAATAACTCTGTTCTTTGGACAGCAATCTTGCATGGATGGCTGAAGAAAATGGATCCATGAATACAAGAAAAACCTCAACAACTCCAGGCAGAGGGAATCTGGGTGTGAGTCAGGAAACCATTCCAGAGAGATGTCCCTGGGGACTTTGGACTTGAGGGTTATCTCTCAGGAGGTTTTCCTGACAGGGTCTTTCGGCTACAATCTGGGAGGGCCTTCCTGAGCTCTTGATAACTGATGGGAAGCCATGGGCTTCCTCCCTTGCCTTGAGACAAATGTATGCATTTGGGCTTAAGTTCAGAGGAAGCGAAGCTGAGACTGCTGATGGGAACCCAAAACAGAGAGTTCTGGGCATGGGCGAGCTGCTGCATTAACAGCACTGTTCAGGATTGGCTTAAAAAAATCCCAGATCAAGGCCTCCTCCCAAAATTTGTTCTAATGTTTTTATTTTTAGAAACTACAGTGCCTGTAGAGGCACAGTTGAGGTGAGTGTGTGGGTTTTTTTCCAGCCAGTGACCCTTTTAGGGCAAACACAGCTCATATCTCCCAGGCTTTCTCTGCCATCGTCAGTGGCAGACATTGTCTTTTTGTAAAATGAGCAATGAGGTTTCCGTGCAGTTGCTGGACTCCAGGAGTTTAGAAATTCAAGGAAATGCTTTTGGGGTAAAATCACGAGCTTTAATGATAACTTGGCACATGATTATTGTTATTCGGTCTGAGGCTGTACTTTTTTCCTCTGCTCTGGCTGTGTTTTGTTTGGAGAAGCAGGGTTGGTGGTTACAGGGGTAAATAAAAGCCCTCTGAGGAAACATGAACCCCTAGAGTTATCCCAGTTGGGTGGAAGGACTCATGCTGAATTTATCAACAGCCATATGAATTATCCAAATCTCCTACTTAATCCTGCCATTGTCTATGGAGTCCTCACCCAGCATCAAGGGCCATCCAGGCAGTCAGAGAGGTGCAAAACACCTTTCCTTTTAATCCACTCCCAGCACCTTCTCAAAGACAATTACTATGAGGAATATTTGTGTGCACAGGGCTCTGGGAAATAGACTGAAACAGCACATTTGATTCTTCAGACCTTCTGAGCAGCAGCGAAACCACCAGTGAACTGTATCACATCAATGACATGCAAGAGAGTAGTGTTGTGTTTCATTTTAATTCAGTGTTCTCTGGGAAGGGTTATTAATTTAGGGGTTGTCCTCACATACCGCTACCTTGTATTCTTAAAAGATGGGCTTAGACGGAGAGTGCAGTTATGGTTTTGTTAGAAATGGTTAGAAAGTGTGCTGTGAGGCACAGGGAGAAGATAAGGTAGCTGTGACCTAGCTGGTGTCTGCGTGGAGGAGCATGCAGCAGCAGGACCTGATGATTTAGGCATTGTGTGTGAGTACCTGTTCTGCCAATGACCAGGCCCAACAAGAATGAGGCAGCCAGCAGGAAGATGAACCAATACACAGACTGTATTGTACCCAAAAAGGACATTCCATGAATGATCGCTGGGGGTACAAACAGATCAATCAGCTGGTACATAACCGACGCCACCCCCAACGAGCCCACAAAAGATGTGACGTGGCCCACAACAGGTGGTACAAACAGTGAGCTGAGGTTGCCCATAGTTGGCATGGGAAACAGCCAAAGCAGCCAGTTAAATACATAAGAAAAAGGTGCCCACATGGCAACTCTCACCCGATCAACCCACGTTCACAAAGGTCTAAACAGACTGGGGCCCCGCTCCAGGTAGAGTCAGGAGGTCTGCCCTGAACCAGGAAGCTCTGGGGAGTGCACTCCACAGACAGACACTCCTGACTCCCTGCCAGTGGTCCCAGCTTTTATCCCCAAGCAGACCCCTGACCTTTGTCAACTCAGTGCGGGACCCCTGGGGCTCATTTCCCTTCTGGCTCTCCCTGCAGGGCCGGCCGCACCCTGGGGGGAAGCTATAAGGCAAACTCACCACCTCTGTATGAAGGGCTGTGGGAATCACCCATATGTCAACCTTAACTCAGGGCTCCGGGTTCAGACCCCAGCATTTCAGTACCTCCCAGCAGCTGCACTGGCCACTGTCCTCCCCAGGGGGATCTAAAGAGTGGTGTGATGTTGGTAAAGATATTAAAGGTTGCCAAGATGAGTGGCTAGGGAAACAATTTCATTTTGGGCTTATTTGCTTTCTGTTTTTTCTTTGAAGTTAAAATCCATGCGATGCAACATCAAGACGGTGTTTACCTTGAATACAGCATGTACTGCTTGTGCTGCAGTGACCAAAATGTTGTGTCCAAGAGGCTGGTTCAAGACCACTCAAGGATTAGGAGTGAGGGACTGCAGGTAAGGCTTGCTTCTTAGCTGTGTTAAGGTTCCAAAGCCCTGCTATGCAAGGAGTGGTGTGTATGCCTTCAGGTGAAAGCACGTGTGGGTTCTGAGCTGTAAAGATCAAAGGAGTTTGTTTTCAGATGCATAAAAATGGATTTATGTCCCCTATTATTGTTGCTTTTTTCTCCTGGTGAATACCATGGACTTTTTTTCTGATTTTTTTCTCAATATTTCTCAATACACACAGAACAGATTACATGTTAATTACCCCTAACTTGCCCCAAACAACTTGAGTTTGCTAATCCTACTGTAGCTACTTAACAGAGGTCTGTCTGGCATAGAAACCTGTTTCACACCCAGAATTCTGCAGTGGATTATTAGGAAAATAATATATATATCCTTATATATCCTCCCAGCTTCCAGCAATAATCCTCTGAACTTTTTACCTTCCTAGTTTGCTTTATGACAATTGCTTGTTCTTGTGTTCCTTGCTCTTATTCTTTTGAGCTTGGCTTTAGTAGGAAAAGGGTGAAGGAAAACTGAATTAACCAGGAAGTTTTTAAAAAATGAAGCACTATAGATTATTGTTTGGGTATCTGTTCAGTAGTGAATGTTAAAAGTTAATATATAGCTCCATTGTCTACTGTTTTCTGTGATCCACTATTCTGTTGAAATACTTTAAAAATAGCTGGTGCAATTTTGCAGTTCAGAGCAGTTTTTGCACAGGCACACACAGGAGTCAGATTGAAGCCCAAGCGACAGTGCTGTTGAGACGATTTCCAAGTTCCTTTTGGGAAGGATGTTGTGCCAAAAATAAAATGAAGTGTAAGAATAATGTGAGTGTACGCAGCTTTTCTGAGTGTTATCTGCTCCTGTGGTGGTTTTTTGACAGACCCAAGAACAGCTCTGTGCTGCACATGTGCAGAGGTAGAGACACTGCCACCAACAGCTTACCCTGTGTGTAGACATGATGGTGAAGGGTTGAAAAGAAGAGTTTGGGGATTTAAGGGCTTTGTCCAAGATTGGACAGAGAATCTGTGAATAACACAGCTATTAAATCAAAATTTCCAGCATCCCAATCTATAATTTCCAGTGCCAGACAGAAAGGGACAAATCCTGCAAGGAGATTTTGTTCTTTCAAGGTTGTTTTAGGTGTGAAGTCAAATTCTGAGTTGCCCTGGAGATCCTCACTGTGTTTCTATGCTGTCTAGCCCTCCAGCATCCAAGACTGAAACCGTTCTTTGAGACTCAAATGAGTTGGCATCCTTAGTGAAGCCAAAACCCAAGTGCAGACTCGTGTGTGCATGTCTGGAAGGGGGAATGAGTGTCCTTTCCTCCACACCAAGTTCAGCTCACTGCAGTGGGACTGCTCAGAGACCCTCCAGCATGTGCATGCTACATTTGTGTGTAATTCTGAATCTTGGATTGTTCTTTTTAAGATACACTGTCAAGTTAGGAGAAAACACCCTTTCCCTGACAGGCTGCTATCACATGTGTAAGAAGGAAATTGAGGAGAAAAAGTGCTGTCCAGGATTCTGGGGTACAGAGTGCTTTGGTAAGTTTTTCATCTTTTTGCAACGCTCTCTAGCTGTTGAAGAAGTCACAACAGTTTTAATAGGAGAAATTAAATATGCTGTGAGGTGATTAATTTTCATTATTAATTGAACATTCACAAGATCTTTGTTGTCTTTCTGGGAGGTTCAGAATAAGACGGGGAAGGAATATCTTTGTTTCAGATGGATTGAATCTTCATCCATTTAACACATAACCTCCTTTGGCAGAACTTCCTTTTGTCTTTTCTTTAAAAATAAGCTTTTGGAAAGGGATGTTTTTGTTCCTCTTTAACAAAGTTTCCAAAGGAAGAGGAAGATATTTCTTTCTGATGTCCCTCTAGTCTGCAGTGTGTGTGCCACGTGCACTGCTGTGTAGTCTGCAGTTAGTCAGCCATTCAGCCACAGAAAATACTGAGCAATTTCAGCTCTAAGTGAAAATAACCCACCCAAAGCTCCTACTCAGATTTATACAAAGTAATGAGAATTGTTTTTGTCTTGTCTTAAAAAATCCACAAGCAAGACCTACTAAGCCAAACACTTTCCCTGTGATTGACTGATTGCTGGAATATTTCCAGTCGTGCAGAAAATGGGAGATTGTTTGAGTGTTTCAGCTTCACACAAAGTGGTTTGAATAAGCAGCTGGGATCATCAGAGGAATCACATGCCTAAAGTTATCTGAAATAGTCCCCAGAATTTGGAGGTAATCCACTACAAAGATGTGTGGACCACATTTTTCTGAGCATATGTCCAGCTCTTCACGAAGTCAATGAGAGCTTAAAATGCTCAGTATCTTTGCAAAGCAGGATCCTGCCTGTCCTGAGTTTCAGAATGACCCTCAGATGTTTGATACCACCTCTTGCTGATGCTAGCAGCACTGAGTCAAACTCAACACATTTTCCAGTGCCTTTGCTGAAATTTAGTCTGTTGTGGCCTACTGGATTTTTCCTTAAACTTTTAATAAAAGTTTTTTTTCTTAGCTAGCAGCCACATTGGTCCTTGGTGCTACTCTTGGCCAAGTTCACCAGCTCTGGTCTGGTTAGATGTATTGGATAAGTAGGCAGGGACTTTGCTAGTGAGCAGGCCAAGAGATTCTAATTGCTTTTGTACAACTGGAAAACCTGGGAGAAGAGAAGAGAAGATGGAAAGGGGAATACAGTGCTGGCTGTTCAATCTGATCTTGTCTGGCCTGTCTCTTGTCTGCTAGAGTGTCCAGGTGGCTCTCAAAATCCCTGCAATGGCCATGGGACATGCCTGGATGGTATACAGCAAAATGGGACCTGCATCTGCAAGGTCAGTGCATGATTTATTCTGAGGGTGATGTGTTTTTATCAGAGGGAGGTGTATAACATCTGTGTAGATCATTTGGATGAAGGCTGCCTTTCTGCCTGGAAGCTCATTAGCAACTTCTTTCATTCCAGCATCAGTGTCTGTGGTTTTCCTGGAGGCTGGTGTGGTGTGCAATAGTATTAAGACACTGTTGTTGAGGATATGGAGTTGGGAATGATTTCTAGGGAGAAATGAAGAATTGCATTATCTTAACACTCCAATCAGTTGAAATAATCAGGATCTCTCTGTGGCTGCAGGAAGCCCTGAGATACTTGGCTCTTAATGAGCTGCATCTTTTCCAGATTTGGATGGTATACTTCTCAAATGAATTGGTCCTGCATCTTGGCAGGCAGATCCTCCTTTTCCCAGGAAAAGCAGGAGAGACCAGAAGGAGAACTTAGGACAGATGGATATTTTTTTTCTTCACAGCTCCAGAATTACTACAAAAAAGCATAAACAACTCCTGCACATTTCGATCATACAGAGCAGCATTTCTAAATTTCTTAGCTTAATGGATCTGTCAGGCTTGAAACTTTCTCTTATGGACTGTATGCTTTTACAACATCCTTAATTAATAGCATCATGAGCTAAAATCCTACCTCTTGGGTCCTTTGAGAAAAGTTGATTTAGGATTTAGCTCAAATAAATCTTGTATCAATTGAAATATATGTTGAAGGCCCCAAGCCCTTTACAATCAATGTGAAAAGTCCCATTGGCATTAGTGAATTCCAGATTCTTTTTTTGGAGAGATATCAGAAGCCAGCTGGTACGTTCCTGTCCATTTGTGGCCAAGACAAGGTTTCCTCAATGCCCACCAGAGTTCTGCTGGCGGTTTTCATGCCCCCTGTGTCCCAGCTTACACTGTGACCTTCTTTGCCATGGGGGCTAACTAACCCTACTGGAGCACTGGGCAGATCAGTTTTCTTCACTGTACTGCTTCAGCTGTCACAGAAAATCAGAAATGAGGAGAGTTTGAACTGTAACAATGTGTGGAACATTGCAATGATACAGAAAAGATAACATCTGGGACATTTTGGGGCCCTTTTAGGAGCAATACAGTGGGTTTGCCTGCCAGAACTGTCGAGATGAAAATCGTTTTGGCCCAGACTGTCAGTCAGGTAAGAATGAGTAACTCAAGAAAAACTTCCACAGAAACAATGGAGAGCAAATTAATACACACGGTTCTGCTTCTCGCATACGGCATTTTTGGAAGCAGTTTATGACCAGTGCAGCCTGGCTATTAAAGGAGCCCTTTTGTCCAGCTCCTGGTCCCCTTCTGTGCACACAGGTGGGATAGGTGTGGTCTTGGTGGTTGTGCTCACACAACGACACCAATGCTGAGATCACAGATGTGGTAGCTCTTGTGCCACTGCCTCCTTCCACTTTGCCTGAAGGAGATTTAGCAGAGTGGGACATTAAAACACATGGCTGAAAAGCTGGTCTAGATCTCGCATGGAAGGCTGCTCTTACAGGGCAATACTTTGTCTTCTTGAGCCCAGGGCATGCAGTTTCCCCTCTGTGAGCTCTGACTGGTGCAGCCTGTTTTTAAAAGAAGCTACATTTGGTGGGCGATCAGGGAAGTCCCAGGGCAGTCGGGCAGTGTGTGCCTGCAGCCCTGTGCAGTGCCCTGTGGCCAAAGCCCGGGTTTGTCTGGCCTTTCCTTGCAGTGTGTGACTGTGTGCACGGGGAATGCAGCAGCGGGGTTGCCGGGAACGGCAGCTGCACGTGCTATGGAGGCTACACCGGCCCCAGGTGTGACCAAGGTAAGTACAGGGGTGGCTGCACAGGGGCTGTTAGAGCTAGACTATGCTATGGGCTTGGATACGTGAGGCCCAGAAGGAGCTGGGGGGAAATGAGTAGCTTGGGAATATGTAAGGAACATGATCTGAGCATCATTGGTCTATACAGAGGGAAAAGCTGGCGTCTGCTCTGTGACAGTGGCCGGTACGTGTAATCTCTTCAGAGGTTCTTTCTCTGGAAACCAGATAGATCCTTCTCTCTAAGCCTTGAGGGACCTGACTGCCTAGACTGCTTATAGCCCCTGGCTTTTGTGCCAGCTTGGCAACCTCTGGAAACCACGTTAGCCTTCATTTCCAAATTCTTGGTAAGGTAGGTTGTATCTGCCAGAAGAGCCCTGTGTGCTCAAAGGGAAACTCTCTTTGCTGTGTGATTCCAGAGCTTCCTCTTTGCAAAGGCATGACATGTGAGGCCAACAGCGAGTGTGTGGTAAGGGACGGGACAGCCATTTGCGACTGCAAGCTGGGCTACAGAAAAAACGGGAGCATTTGCCAAGGTGAGAAACTCCCCTGTGACCGTAAGCTGCCCCTTCTCTGGAAAAATCTTGCTGCACTGATATCTGGATGAATTTGATCACTGTGAATACAATGCCTACTTCACTGCAGAGGATTAACAACCTGATTTTTAGGAAACCCTTTAAGATTAAGGGCTAAGTTTTTGGCTCTCCTTTCACTTGGACCTGAAAGCAAGAAATGAATTAGAGTTGCAGGTTCCATCCTGCTCTCACTTATAAGTAAACTGAAAACCTGTGACAAGGGGATTTTTGGTGAGTCCAAACCCGTTTAAATAATGTGGTCTGTAACTGGAGGATTTCTTCACTGATTTCAGATTTTAAGTTTGTGAATTAGTTTTGTCAATAAGATGCATGGGATTATCTAGCTATGGACAGCTCTATTTTCATTGGCTTTTTGGAGTTTTTGCTGTAAAACCTGCAGTTTCATATATCCTCAGATATGGAAATGCAGAAGTAAATCCAAGCATCCTGTCACTCATACTTCTGTTACTGAAGTGACATGATGGAATGTGTTATCCAAATTCCTCAGAATAAAAACCCCAAAACATCTGCTTTCTGAAATTATTTTATTTTCTTGGGAAATTTTAGAAGTTCAATGGTATAAATTCTTCATACTCCATTCTTTCCAGGTCTTTTTCATTCTGCTATGGTGCAGTAAGTGTTGTTTTGAAAAACAGAAATTTGGTTACTCTCACCTCTTTAATTGCAGCTTGGGATCCTTGTGCTACTTCTCCATGCTCCCCCTTTGCTGTGTGTAAGGTTCTCGGACCACAAAAATATCAATGTACCTGCAAAGAAGGATTTCAAGGAGATGGGAAGATTTGTCAGCCCATAAACCCTTGTGTTGACAGTAATGGAGGCTGCCCAGAAAATTCTACAATTTGTATTTACAGACGTCCAGGAGAGGTAAGGGCAATAACAGCACGTCAGCAACCTGAAAGAGTCTGAAAAGTGGCCAGGTAAGATGTTTTTTGAATAAGTTCACCACTGTGTTGGGTCAAATCTGCTCTCCTCACCTTACATTTTGCAAAGGGAAACCGGACCGTTCTTTTGTAGGGTAATTTATTGGGTAAAAAACGATGACTGCAGCTCTATAATCACTGTGTTGCCTTCCCTTAGGCATCCTGTATTTGCAAGCCTGGGATGATTAGGAGAAGTCCTTTGTCTGAGTGTTCTGTAGTTTCCAGCAACTGCCAGCAGTATTTTTGTGACGTGACTTCCACGTGTGAAATTAATTCCCAGGGGAATCCTAGGTAAACCACTTTAAAGATTCTAATTAAAGAAGCTAATTCTGCAGCTAGAGTGGAAAATGCGTTTGGATGAGCTGAATTTTGAAGAAACTGAGAGCTAAAGAGAAAGGGTCAGAGTCAGTGTTTGAGAAGAGCCCATTTGTAACACGCCCATTGAAAGCAGGGTTTTACATCCCTCACTATAAAGTGGGCATGCGTAAATTTAAAACACAAGAAGTTTTAAATCTGAGGCGGCAGACTCCTCTGTGATGTGAACTGGAGATGTAGTTCCCCAAGTTGATGGTCGTAGTAGGGTATTATCAGTTAATAATCAGTCATTAAAAGGAAGATATGTAACTCTTGTTTGCTTATGTTTGCGCACCTTTGATTCTGAAGGCTAAGTCTTTGGCTCTGCTCTCACTCAGGCCTGTAAGCAAGAAATGAATTAGAACTGTGGATCAACAGGGAGTGAGGAAGTAGAGGGAAGAAACACCAGACTTCATTTAGTCCTCTGGAGCAAAACACCTAGATGTTGATACTCCTTAGATGGGAAATATTGCCCAATCTCTTGGCCTCCCGAACAGCAGAGAAAGCTTCACCGAGGATTTTGTGTGTTACCAAGAAAAGATGGAGCTTCTCTGAGAGACTGAAGAGGGAAAGAACAGTCCCATCTCCTTGACCCTTCCTTCTCCATAAAACTGTTAGCATCCACCTGCACACCATGTGCTCCAGGCCAGAACTGAAACAGGGTGGCTTCCCTTTGTGAGGAGAAGCCAGCAAAGCGCAGGACACGGTGTTCAGCACAGCCCCTGCCTTGGTGCATCTGCTCCCCAGCAGCTGGCACTCAGCCCTCTGAGGCTGGAGGAATGGCAAACCCCTCCCCTTTGCCCCACGGCTTTGTAGCCCCGACACAGAAAGAGCAGAGCCAATACTTGGATAACAACCAAACAGGAAAAACGTGGTTATCAGCCAAGGATCTTAAGCAGCCTCTGGGTAATGAGTGTAAATCCGTGTGAACCAGGACAGAGATTTTCACATGTAGATAAGCTTTTCTGGAAAAGTCATTAGCCTGCCCTCATTAAGTCCAAGATGAATCGTAGCTGACTGGTATGCTTGAGCTGGCCCTTCTCACTGAAGCTAAGGGGTCACATAGGAGCTGTTTGCTAGATTTTCACTTAGCCTGTGTTTTTTACACATTACCTCAAATTTTCAGATGCTGTAATGATTGGTTCTGACTGAATAGTTAAAAGGTGTCAATGAATATATTGTGACTACCTGTGCTCTGAAATCTAGAGTAGACAATCCCTATGTTGATTGTATCTGAGAAAGCATCTTCATTCTCTTTGGGTAGGACTACATTTGATTTTACTCTAAGTGTGCATCTTTTTTTCCTGTCAATTTAGGCAGAAATTACTAAGCTCTTACCTACACCTTAAAGCAGGGATTTGTCATTCACGTGTGGATACTGACATGATGGTGTGCTCATATAGATTGAATGCATTACAAACTGTTTTATAATGACTTGTTATGTTTTGTTTTTGTCTCTTAGCTGTGTGTGTAAGGAAGGGGAGATTGGAGATGGGAGAAGTTGTTATAAAGATCTCTTGAGTGAGATAAATCAGCTTAATTCACGAGGAAGGTTTGCTAAGAAATTAAACGTCGCCAGGAAAATGTTTGGTAAATGTCGTTTAAATTTCTTTGGGGAAAGGAGCAAATGCAGGGACAAAACTGTGTCAGAAAAGGCTAAAAGCCTTTCAACACAATAGATCCATTTCGCTGTATGGCCACGGGCTGCAAAATGAAACACATCACAGCTCTGAACTCACATCATCAGTTCTGGATTGTGAACTGAGGAAACCGGTGCAGAGAGCACTGTGGATGAGTGTTGAGTATTTGACAGTCCTGGTGAAGGATGTACCATGTTTGCAAAAGGAGGAAAACGTGTCTTGGGGTTGTGACTCAAACCCGTTTGTACCAAATCACTGGTGCAGTGCTGTCTCCATCAGCAGTGTCTGTGTTGCAGGCTCAGCAATCTTTCAGCTGCTGCAGTTTTCTAGCAGTGATGCTTGAAGCCGGTGTGCCACGGGTCCTTTACACGAGCACCTACTAAGCCCTGAAACAGCCTCCTTGTGAAAATGTACATGTGAGCACATCCATTATAGAGATGTTGCCCACACTCATTTTTTTGCATCTGTTTTCCATAATGATTTGTGCTGTGGGCAATCACAGGAAGATCTCTGGATTCCTAACTCCTGTGCAATAAGACTTAATACCCAATGACCTTTGTTGAAGTGGACTTAGCTGATGGGCCATTGATAATTTAGTGAAGACTGACAGCTGTGGGTTCGTAGCAGCTTCCCAAGAAGTCTTTAGTCTCAGTAAATCCTGATGATACCCCAAAATTAGTTGTTTCAAAGGGAAGGCAGAGGACACTTGGCCCAATAATAAGGTAGTAAACATGTGGGAACAAAATTATTATGAATATTCTACAAATTTCAGCAGTGATTTGAAGAGGACTGAAGTCAGCAGCAATCCTCCAGAAATCTTGCGGGCAAGTGCTTAAAACTAATAGCAACCAAGCTGGGGTGTGATAGCAATACCAAACTCCCTCTGGTTCCTTGTAAAACAAGCACTAATTACTTGCATCAGGCCAAAAAATGTGTAGAATGAAATGTGCTGTTAATGACAGGGGTAATTATTGCTGGAGTTAAACCATGTGCCAAGTAACTTCTTCATGTTGCCACTCTTTTTACAGCTTCTGGTTGCTCAACGCTGCTGACTAAATACGGGCCTTTCACAGTCTTTGTGCCATCCCTTCTTCCAATTCATGACAGAATGGAATTCAACGTAAGTCTTCTGGGGTTTAGCAAATTTTTGCTGTCTTGAGATTCTTTCCTGCCTGATTCTGCAGCCTGTAAAAACTGGCACATGAGAGAGGAATTTTGGAAGGCAGTATTTATAGAAGGAATCTCTTGGGAAGACTCTTCATTGTCTGGTTAAGTTGCAGTCTCATAGAGGCTGTTACAACCCTCGCATTATTTTTAAAATACATCTCTTCAATATTGACAGAGCTTTTTTGGTTTTAATGTCAGGAAGCATACATTTTTTTCTGGCCATTCTTCATTTAAAGCTCAAACCTTCTGTGTGTGACTGTTCTCAAAACTTTAGGTGCCTTTTGACTCCTTGAGGCTGAGCTTTACAAAAGGGGCTGAAATTTGTGTCAAAGTATTGAATTTTGGCCGTATGGGTACAGTTGACACTCCTTGAGAAGAGTTCATTTTATTAATAGGGATAGCATGATAGCTGTCCCATACTGCCTAGTTGAGGAGAGATTTTCTCTGACAGTGGAAAAGTCAGGCCCTGTGCCTAGGTCATCATGGTAACTTCTGGATTCAAAGAAAATACATCAGGAAAGACCCCTGAGTTAGCTAGTCTACCTGTTCCCACAAAGATCCATCTAAATCAGTATGGACAGAGGATTGTCTAAAAAAAACCAAAAAAATCAGTGATGAAAAGCCCAGAAAAGAAAAGAAGAAACTAAATTGAGCAGCTTTGTCCACCTATATGGTCCAACATAAAGATTGTGTACAGGGAGCTTCAGCAAGTTTTATAATCTGGAACATTCAAAGATAGAGACCTAGTGGACCTGGACAATTTAAAAACTATCTAGGGGATTCATCTAAAGTCAGTTGCAGTTTAATTGGTCTCCCTGAGTGTGAATGGTCACACAAGTAGAAGCAAAGAATTTGCCACATCACTACTCCAGTGAACCATAATGAAGAGAGAAGCTTGATCTTGTACGTTAAGAATTTCTCTGTGTGTGTTAGCTGGGAGAAAAATAATGTTATGGCTCTTTCAGTAAATGAGTTTTTTCAAAGCACGTGTCATTTATCTTCTTGATGTGACCTTTATTCCCCAAAGGATACCACTGCTGAGCAGCTGTGCAGAATGCACATTGTTCCTGGTCTGCATTTCGTAGAAGAAATGGTAAAAGCTAAGACTGTATGGACTTTGTCAGGACATCAGCTGACATTCAGTAGCCAGGTAAAGGGTTTCCTGAACTGAAGTCCTGGACCTCTGCTTTCATATAGGAAAGACTGGAGCTTGAGCATAGTTTCCTTGGTGCACTTTCTTAACGAGAAAACCTTTTTCTCTAATCAACTTGCCTGCTATCAGAACCAGAAGCTCCTTTGTGGCATCCAAAGCAAGGTGATTTAAGACCAGAAACCCCAAGCAACCACTTTTCTTGTCTTGCACACAACCAATTACCCAGAATCTGACTTGTGGATGCTTTTTCCCTTGGTCTGTATCTATATTCAGGAGAAGACATCTTTTCCCTCCACCATTAGCAGCTACCAAATCTGTGTGGCTGACATGGAAGAGGCAGCGAAGTCTCTGTTCAGACTGAATGCTTCTTGGAGACTGTGTGCCTGGACACGGCCACATGCTGAATATTTCCTCTTCCAGCTTCCCTTTCCCCCTCTTTCTGTTTTATTTCTCTTAGTTGTCCTAGCAAAGAATTTTTCACCATTGTTTTCTGCTAGGGAAGGCTTTTTTCCCCTCTTCCCTTTTTCAACTGACTCACATTTTCCAGTATCCACTGCTCTCTTTCCATCCTGCACTTTTCCTGTGTGCAGGCTCACAGCTGCCCAGGGGGGAGCTGTATGTTTCCTCTCTGAGGATTCAGCCTTGGCCTTGAGGTCTAGATCATAATACATGCACCCTGCATGCATCAAAAGGACAAAACACTATTTGGAGCCAGGGAATCTAAACTGAGCTTGTGACGGTCCTTTTAAATTTCTTTCCTGTTTGTTTACTCAGGAGTCTTTTGATCTGGGAAGTCTGCCCTCCCCTTCCTTTGTTTCAGCCAGAATCCTCAGTGATGTAAACTGAAATTCAGGGCAGGGAGGAGCTGTTCAAGAAATGCACGTGGTGAAATGAAAAGCACAGGGAGATTTTGCTTGCCTGAACTTGGATTACGGCTGCAGCACCAATACCTTGATGCTTAGTTTGGAGGTTCCCTTTGGAAGCACCCAGCTTCAGTGCATGGTTGTACACAGTGTGGAAGGATCAGATATGTGCTTTATAATTCAGTGAGCCTGACTGTTTGGCTTTGTTATGATGACTCCTTGTTGGCATTATGGTCAATAAAACTTGCAATCAAATCTGTAGTTCCAGAATGGCCTCCAAGTTCTCCACTCCACTGTGCTAGGGAAGCACAGTGTCTCTCTTCTTGTACTTGGTAGTCTGATGCAGCAGCTACTGGGTGGTCAGCACACCCTTTTGTGATTCAGAGCTGGGACCAAGTATCACTCACACTCAGACAAAATTGATTCCAGAGCTGATTGTCCCAGATTAGGTCTTCTTTCTGTAATAAGACTTAAAAATACACAACCACCATGGTCAAAATATTACTCAAACTCAAGCAGAGGTGGGATTTTTGTTCTACACCCAAGCCACCCCTTAAATTTACTCGTTCCAGAGTAACTCTGGTTGTACCTTCACCTGTGCTGACCTGCAGGCAGAGAGCACCGAAGGGAACAATGATCTATAGATCTCTCATGATAACACAGGTGAACCTTTCAGGTGTACCTGGGAGTAACTTTTTATTATTATCATCCAGACGTACGTCAAATCGTTTCGATATCAGGATCTGCCAGGAGAACTGTACAATGTCCTACAATCAAACCTACCAGCAGCCAATGGCATCATTCATATCATTAACACTCTAAGGAAGACACCCAGCACTGACAACCTCAGAAACCCTCAGGTACATAGGCATTACTTTTTTTTTTTTTCTGTTTTATGGGACAGCAGAATAAACACTTAAAAAAAAAAAAAATCTGCTTTCATAATTAAACTTCCAAATCCATGAGACATTTTATAAAGGGAAAAGGCTATTTATCTATTTATTTTGTTTTCAGCTCCTAATAAGGCCTGTTAGGCACTCTTCTGTCAGCATAGCATTAAAAGTAGCTGATAGCATGGCATAAATCAGCTACAAACCTCACAATGGTGCCTTTACACTGCTTGGATGAGTAGAGAGGTCTGCTTTCAGGAGTAAGTTCACTCCCTTCATAGTAAATGAAATCTTTCCCAGTTGTATCTTACAAGGTCAATACTGAAAAAAAATTTTTCCTGTAAAAATCAAATTATTTTTCTTTAATTAATCTGTACTGCACTTTGAAATTATAGTCGAAAATTTGTCTTTGCATGAAAAATGCTTAAAATGAGGACAAATAACCATTAGACTTTTGCATTTTAAAGTCATGAATTTAAGACACTGGGCAGGGGTTTCAGGTTCAATTTCTGCTAAGCACTTTTCCCTGTTAGCTGGGAGAAGTTTTTGCTATAGCTACTACATTGCTATGTCTGAGCATTTTGATATTGTTTCTACATGCAGAAAGCAGGCCCTGTAAGCTCCTACCTCCCTGAAAAAAAGTTACTCAAAGGATGACACAAGCTCTTGGGTTTGGTAGGATTTTGGTAGTAGTTTGCACTTACTTTACACTATTGTAATAAATTTATAGAAGCAGTCAGACTCTTTTAAGATGACAGCTGTATTTTGTGTGTTTAAGACACAGTTGGAGTTTTGCATTGGGTGTTAGTAGCTCTTCTGCTGAAGTGCCTTGAGGATGGTGTAGCAATTGTAGAAGCTGTAAGTGTTCATCTGGGTTTGATTGTGCCCACTACTGATGTTTAAGTCTGCTATCATTTAAGCTGTTCTCAGTCTTATGACCTGCACAAAGATGTTTTCCAAAAAGGAGTGTCTGAGCTCCAGAGGGAAAGCTGGACCTCTGTGTTTGTGTGCTCAGCTACCTGCAGGGAAGAGTTTGCACCTACCCTGGGATGGCAGGACAGTAAGAGGGCTCTGTGCAGAGCTGGTCTTTCTCTGGACTCCCTCAGTCACTCCTTCCCTTGTGACGCTGGCTTTGCAATGAAAGCTAGTGATCACATCAGCCACTGGTACAAATCCCTTTGTACCAGTGTCCCTTGGAAATAACATTCTGTGCCTCTGCATGTTCTATGGGAAGCACTTTCTGTGAAAAAAAATCATGCAGATTCTTGCAAATTAACGTCAGACAAGTCCCTTCACAAGTTTTGATACTTGCAGGGATGTTCCTCCTGTTACCTCTGTCTTCATGGGCAACGAGGCAAAAAGGAAGCCACTGAATTTCCTCTTTCAGGAATATGCACATGTAATGTATTTTCTCAGCACTGAGGCTCATTTGCAGGTGGCAGAATGAACCCTTGTCCTCAAAGCACAGGAAGACTTGAGATGACAGAGCATCTCCAATGCCTACCAGCCCAGAACTGATGTATAGCATGTTTCTCGTTGTAACGATAGTGAGCAGTTGTCTCTTCACTTAATTTAAGCTGCAGCTGGGAGAAGGGTGCTCAAGTGCATCATGCCTTGGAAAATCTGGTTTGTTGTGCATGGGAAGGAGTTTGTGGCTAACTTACTTCAGGCTCAGTCCCTGGTAGGTCGACTGGCCAATACAGAGGGTTTAAAGGCTTTGAGGATAATGGTCTCCTGCAAATCTTTACATGCAAACCACAAACACAAGCTAGCAAAGGAATTTCAGTATGTGCTCAGATCTCTCTTCAGCCCCAGCCATTTTTTAACTCTTTGCATCTTCTTGCAGAAAACCATTGGTGAAATACTTGCATCAATGGAGATCTTCAGCAGATTTGAAACTATACTGGAGGTAAGCATGTTTGTGTCTGCCTCAGCAAGGTGTGACATTACTGCTGTTGTAAAGAGTGCTGCTGGTTTTGTGGGAATTTTGATTAACTGATAATGCTTATTTAAATATACATCTCAGTGGTTTGGCTCTTTTCTGTATCACTTCTTATTCTGTGTATTTTAAATAAGCAAATATAATGGAAAATATCAGAATTTTCACATCTATAGGGGATCTGGCCCAAGCAGTAAACATACATGTCCCTTTCTCATCTGTTTCCTCACCTCCCCTTCCCCTCTCTCCTGGAGAGTTTCTTCTCTGAAGTATGTTTAGTTCTTGACCAGTGTCAGTACAAAGTGAAGGTTTCATGACTGCCCAAGCCAAGCTAGATTCTAGCTACCTGGTTTTGGAGTGTGCATCTCTAATAAAAAGCAGTTCTCAGGTTATAAACCCTTGAGGCTGCTGCCCAGGATTCAGTTAGTATTTTCACTAGGGGCAGGCTGATTTTCCTTCTACCTCCATCAGAGTCGTCTGGATCTGCTCTAGCATTGCTCACAACAATCTTGTGTTCTTGTGCAAGAGGCATTTATGCCTCTGTTACATTACATACCTATCCGTGGGGTCCAGTTGTCTCTTGTACACATTTGTTTTTGAATAGCTCTGCCTCTAGTGTGTTGTTTAGAGTTTCTTCCACCTTCCTGGAAGACTCCCTCCCTAACTCATGCTAGATCTGCGACAAAATCTTTTATTGTTTTTGCAGAACTGTGGCCTGCCTGCAATACTGGATGGACCAGGGCCCTTTACTGTATTTGTACCCAGCAATGATGGCGTGGATGAGTTGAGAGATGGAAGGCTCATTTATCTTTTCACAGAGGTGAGAGCTCATAGTGCTTTAAGACATCCTGAGCTGACTGTGTTGCAGTAGGCTGTGCTGGAGTGGCTTGTGTAGTGTATCTGATCACTGCTGGAAGTTATTCTTCTTGGAGATGGCTAAACCATGTCACTGTTTCTGTAAAGCTTTGGGAGAGAAGTGAATGCTGATGGAACCTGCAATGAGAAATATGGTTAGCCAGATTGCTTACATCTGATGTTTCCCTTTCTTTTCTTATGCCAGCTTTGGGTAGGGGAAAATAAGGAATGTACTCACCAAGTGAGTTCACTGACATTGACGTTGTCAGTCACTGGTTAAAAGAAAACGTAGCTACCTCCTCTTACTCCTGAGCATTGAAGGTATGACTAATTATCATGTCCTCTTCTTTCCTTAGGGCATAAATAAGCTTCAGGAACTTGTGAAACATCATATCTACACTTCAGCAGCGGTAAGGCAGGCAGCTCTAATTCCAGATAACTGGGGTCCTTCAGGCCAGCATGTCATCAGCTGTGTTGTTGGGCATAGAGGTCAGAGATTCCATGATTTCCACTAGCACTTCTTGGACCTGCCCTGGAGAGGCAGGGATGCGATTTGGGATCGGATGAGGCAAAACATTTACCATGAAAGGGGTTGCCAAAAGGGACTGTTTGTGATCTTCTGTTATGAAACTCTGGGTTTCCTGGGAATAATCATGCGCCTTGGTTAGATTGCCTACAGTTTCCCTAAAGCACTCATAGCAGCATCACAAAAGTTACAGCCAAGTGAAGAATTGGTCCACGCTCCCTGCTCTTTTTTCTTTCTCCTTGGGCTTCGCCAGTTAGAGGTAAAGAACTGGTGCAAGTGAGCTTGTGATCTGATCCAGCACTGCCCATTCCTGCACCAACACTGTTGTGTACTATAGTGGCAGGGTACCTAAAATCAACACAGTGCATCCACAAGACATTTTCCCTTATACAATCCACAAGAGAAGTGTTTGAAGTTAGGCACAAAGCCTGTGGAGGAAGTGAGTACTCAAGCATTATGGTACAACATCAAGTCCTTAATTAAGATATATCACTAATAATAGTGATTCTCATTCTTTACTGAGAAGCAACTGTCAGTCCTTATGATTTTCCTAATTCCAGTAGAGGGAGTAAGCAGCACTTTGACAAAACAGCAAAACCTAGTTTTGCTTGCAGTTGATGAACAACAACATGGTAACAAGCTGTGCTACTTTTTAATAACTTGTTGGACACAAAAGTAACAATTGTCTTAGTTCTCAGAACTCACTTCTCAAATCCTGAAGTTTCTCAGTACGTTAGCTGCAGTTCACTTTTTTTTTTTTTTCCCCTGCCTTTAGAAATAAGCTTATTTATTAAGTCAAAATATGTTCTCTATTATGCCTCTGGCTCAGCTTCCATTCTTTACTGGCTATGGAAAATCCTGTTATTACTCTGCCCCTATTTGCAGCTGTATTAGTAAGAAACAATACCACTAGACTAGATTTCAGATGTGCTGGACTGTTACTCACATAAGGCATGAAAACCAATGCTGCTGCTGCCAGCACTGCTGTGTTTGTGGTATTGCAAGCGATTCACACAAAGTCCTGGATATCCCTCTGACCCTTTTTTTGTATTTAAGGTAGTTCATGAAATGTAAATACTAAAGGCAAGTTCCCTTTCGAGGTTTTTTTTAAGTGGTAGAAGTCATGGGAAGGTTCTGTAAGCTGTGCTGCAATGACCCTGCTTTTTCACGATGCTGTCCCCTTGTGTTTTTATTGCAGGTGACTGTAGAGAAACTGATAATGATGCCACACATTTTTACCATGGCTAACCAAGTACTTACCATCAACATCAGTGCAGATGTAAGTATGAAAGAGAACCCTTTTGGGCGAACCCTCCTGTGCAAAGAGAAGGTCTGGCTGTGGTTCTGAACGATGTGGTTTCAGCCCGTTTCTGCTTCCTGCTCTGCTTGAAAACCTAGACTTAAATGAGGTCATTGAATGAGTTTGCTTCTTATCCAGCCTGTGACTCCGCTAAGAGACTCGGCCATTTGTGTGGTTGGACTTGGTGTGGTGTTCAATCTGGTTCCTACGTTTGCTTTATGTAGCTGATACATATGCAGATGAATTATTTGTGTTTCTGCATCAGGGAAGAATTCTGATGGGTGAATCAGGGATTCCCTTAAAGATGCGAGACATTGTGGCATCAAATGGTATTATCCATACCTTGGATGGCATCTTCATCCCTCCTTCAATAATTCCCATTTTGCCTCACAGATGCAATGAAGAGCAACATAAAATTGTGATGGTGAGTCACCTTCTCGCATTCTCATGCTAGCAGTTGCTGTAGACCTCACACTCACCTGGAGGGACAAAAGCAGGCTGTGTAAATTCCATTTAGGAAATGTGTTCTTCTTGAGAAGTCCCCTGATGAGAACTTTGGCAGTATCAGCACTGTCAGTGTGTCTTCTGCTGGCCCTTGGCACCTCTTTCCTGGCAATCAGCAAATGTTCCTTGTAGGCTGTCATTCCTTCCTTGCACCTGCCCTGCCTTTGGTTCAGAAGCACATTTGCCTTTTCATAAGGCCCTATAAGGAGACACAGTTAAGCCCAAGTGGCCAGAGGGACCACAAAACTTGCGGATTTAGTGAGGCCAGCTGCATGGATACCCAAATTGTTTTCCAGCCTAGCTGCATGTCTAGTGGCTGATAGACTCACCGGGTGGAGACAGACACCCACCCTGTTCCCACCTTTTTGCAGTCAGGTGCAAGATTCTCCTTGAGACAAAGGAGTAATTTTATTTAGGTGATAAACTTAGCCCATTTCAGAGTGTTAAAACTCCCTCCTAGGAAAATTTTTGATGTGTTTTGATGCTCTGGATGTACGTGAGGAGCAGTAGCTCTGTAGAGTTCTTGGCATGGGGAATGAGTTCTTCTGAGAAGATTAAGTTTTCCCTCTTGTTTTCTTAACAGGGCTCTTGTGTGGATTGTGAGGCCCTCAACAACAGTGTTTGCCCACCTGGCAGCAGAGAAATGGTAAATATTTGTGGTTATTTTTGTAATTTCCTTTTTGCATGATGACATACAGACCTACAGACCCAAGTCACTTTCAAATAAACAGCAGGGAAGGCAACCAGTAGAGAAGGATACATACTGCCCCCATATCTCTGCTCTGCGGTCCCAGGCTGGCACCCACCAACTGCTCTGTGCTGGTTTTTGTTCTGAAGTCTATTTGCTGAGTCAATGGAGAGAGCTGTGAGGCAGTCTGGGCTAAATGAAATTGTAGGTGCAGCTTTTAGTGCTTCTACCCTGCCTCATGCAGAGCTTTCCTGCTCATGTGCTGTCTGCCAGCTCCTCCAGACTGCTAGAACCAAGCCTGATCCCACTAGTCCTATCCAGTGCTACCACTGCCTGTATCATGACCAGAGACTCACAACAAGCTTTCTGCACTGCAGACGATGAGAAACAGTTTGTTCTTGGCCTGTGCTCCCTGTTGATTCTGAGATGAGCAGAATTAGCTGAAGGTGGAGTAAGGACGAGGAAGCTGGGTACTGGTGTTTGAGTTATTCCATGATGAGTTTAGCAGAATAGCAAGTTCCAGGAAATCCCAGTGTGAAGGCCAGGCCCAAGATGTTATTTGTGAAAGCCAGAGAGGTGTTCACCACTGTTAACTGTTGGGTATCTTCTGAGACATCTGGCTTTCAGGAGAACTTGATGAATGTCTGAAGTAGAGCTCTGCAAAATCACTAGTTGCTCTTTTTCCTCTCTGATTGAGGCAAGTGAAGCCAGAATCATCTGGGGCCCTGTTCTGCCTGTGTCTAACTCCATGACAGGTCATTCAGCATCGTTCCAAAATTGTTTGCTGTCCTTTTCCTCCTCTCTTACTCTCTCCAAGTCTCCTCCCTGTCTGTCTCACCTGCCTCCCTGTTTTTGCTTCCCTCCCTCCCTCTCTCATTATCTCTTTTACCCCCTCTCTGCCCCACTCCTTCTCTTCTTCCTCCTCTCTCCTACTACTGTCTCTCTCTCCCTTATCACAGACACTATTATTAGAGCAAAAGGGCAGCACTTTGGCTCAGATCTGGGGACTGCTGGGAGCGAGAGGAGGCCACCATGTGCCTTCTTTCATGATAAGCATGCCTGACAGTATCTTGTTCTCCTTGGCTCCTCTGTGAACTTCCTCAGCTCAGAGATAGGCACACTTGCTCTCTGTAGCACAAAAGAAGGGAAGGTTACAGTGCTGATGACTTGTTTTGTTCGTGCAGGAATCAATGCTCTTCCCAAAAGAATGTGTCTACATCCATGACCCACAAGGCCTGAATGTCCTGAAGAAGGGGTGCGCCAGGTACTGCAACCAAACCGTCACGGTAAGTGTGATGGAAGCCCACACTCCCCTTCAAAGGAGTTCAGCTTTGTTCTTCCTCGTTCCTCAAGAAGAGCTCTGACTCCTTGAGCTGAGAGAGGGCTGGAGGGGAGCAGAAGGAAAGCTTTCCTGTGCAAAGGGCTGTCCCCAGGACCATGATGGGAAATAGCTACCTGTTTTTTCTTTGGCAGAGAGAACACAGGGAACCAACCAACCTGCTGCAAATGTTAGAAAGCAGCTCAGTCAAACCCAAGTACAATAAATAATTAAAATAAAGCATGCCAGTTGTGACCAGCCAAGCTGGGAGAAGCCACAAGACAAATGGTGCAGTGCTAGCTGGGCCACGTCTTCTCTGCGAGTGTTCTGGTTTTAGCATTTCTCCCAAAGGAAGCTGAGCACAGGGAAAGTGCTGTAAGCTGTGAAGTGATTGCATCCTGTTTATGAGACATTGTCAGAGGGCTCAGGAAAGTCATTCTTACAGCGTTTACGGCCATTTGACTGCAGCTGCTGAGCTCTCACAGTGCCTACTGTATGGAATGATTTGTGAGTGTCTCATTAAATACTGGTGATTGTTTGTCTTGTAATTGTTCTTCCATTGGTCAGTCGTGACAAGGCCTGTGATCCAGGACTGCTACATCCCTCCAAAGGAACGCAGTCCTCAGCAAGGATGAAGTAGAAGTAGGCCAGCACTATTAAAGAAATAAAAGCTCACATACAACGTAGATCCTATTTGCTGAAGTCAGAGAGAGAGCGCAGAAAATTAGTGATTTATTCTGAAAGCTGAGGCTGTGAGCAGAAAAAGGGGTGTTGCTGAAAAAATAATTTAAGTGCAGGAACTCCTAGAAAAATAAATGCAAAATGAGGCAGTCTGTTTCAGTCAATGGCAGAAAGGAAGACCAGGATTTCAGAATTATGAGGTAGGATGACTCCAGGCAATTCTTGCTAAGTCACATCACACCTTACCAAATTTGCTTTTGTTTCAGAAACCTGGATGCTGCAAAGGGTTTTTTGGTCCAGACTGCATGCCATGCCCAGGGGGATTTTCCAGCCCATGCTACGGACGGGGAAATGTAAGTATGAAAGTTCAGGCTGTATTGCAGCAGCAGTTGTGACAGCGTGGTTAGAGAGTGCAGTTGTAGATAAGTGCAATTCAGAGTTTGTGCTCAAGGGCTAAGCCCCCAGCGGTGGCAGCAGAATATCCAGGGAGAATGGCACGTACTCCATGGACTTGCTTTCCTGAGCTCTAACATGAATCATGTCATGGCTGCTGGGGACAGCTCTGGCTTTGTGGGATTTTGTATTGCTGCCACCACTCTGCAGAGTCCTACTCCTTGCCACAAGTGTCAAAGTGCCTTTGATAGCTATCAATGCCTTGGCTTTGCCTTGCTTCCTTGAGTTGCTGTTCACTTTGGGTTTGATTTTCTTTTTGTTTTCCTTCCAGTGCAGTGATGGCATACAAGGGAATGGCAACTGTCACTGCTTTGAAGGTTTCAAAGGAATTGCCTGCCACATCTGTTCAAACCCAAACAAGCACGGCGAGAACTGTGATGAAGGTTGGTAATTCTGGTGGAGAGACTAGAGGAAAATGTAGGATGAGGATATAGTGCAAGTTCCTGTACCCTGCATTCCTTTTTGGCAAACAGCTCACGAAAGAAGTGAGAGCAATGCCATCACGGCTGTCCCTTCAAAAAACAGTGGCTGATCTAGCAGTGGTGATGGGAGTCTTGGAAACATCAGCCAAATTTAGGTGTAGGACTTCGATTTATATCTCTCCTGCTAGGAAAGAAAAGATGTTAGACAAGGACTTTGAGCTTGATAGCCTAAATTTGAGTCTGTCCTTATAGTCTACAAAAACCAGAGACCCAGGTGGTCACAGGATCTCTTTCCTGGCCAAGTTTTGAGTTATGACAGGTGTCTCTCAGCAGACATCCATCTGTCAAGAACAAACGGGATGATCCTTTGCTATCACAAGAGGTCATGAAGGCAAGTTGGGAGTCTGCACAATGCTGTCACTGTAGTGGATTCTGGGCTTTCTGTAATTACTGATCTTACTCCGTGTACTTCAGATTGTGGCTGTCTCCATGGCATCTGTGACAACAGGCCTGGCAGCGGCGGTGTGTGTCAGTCCTGGTCCTGTAAGGAAGGCTACACTGGGAAATTCTGTGACAAGACATCCAAGAACTGTGGCTCGAGCGAGCTGTCCCAGTACTGCCACCAGAACGCTGTCTGCAGCCTCAATGACACGGCAAGGTCAGCCGTCTCGGTGTGCACACTCAGGTGGACACGTTGTCACTGTACAGGCACACAGGGGCTGCGAGGCTGAGACCTCTCTAATTGTCTCTGTGTGTCTTTGTACTTGTTGCATGGGATGGTTTGAGTAATACAGCCAACCTGGCATCAAAGTCAGGTTCTGCCTTGCTCGAGAGGCTCCAGCTGCCTTTTGCTCTCTGCCGGCTTTCAGAAGGGGCTGCTCTATCTGTGTCCCTTTTGTTCTTATACTTTCAAGGTGCATCTGCATGGATGGATATGAAGGTGATGGGTTTTCCTGCCAGCCCATCGACCTGTGCAGTCAGCCAGACCGAGGAGGCTGTTCACAGAATGTAAGTGGGGCCAGATGGTCGAAGCATGGAGAAGCAGCTCCCATCAGTCAGAGCAGGGATCCAGGACTCCTGAGACTGTTACACATTTTGTGTGCTAACTTCCCCCAGCTATAAGGTGGGGTGGAATACCAGGTACTTTGGCAGTCATTATGAGGATGCCAATCATTTGAGCTGGTGCCAAAATGCAACACCCCAAGGAGGGTTTGGCTGGTTTGCACCAGATATTTTGACAGCTACAGAGATTAGCAGTACAGATAATTTTTTGAGTTGTAATGCTTTTCCCTTCAAGCTCTTCCAATGTGTGTTAGTAGCTCTGCTGCTGTGTTTGGGCTGTAGCTTAACTGTGAACTCCAACTCATATTTCTAGTAACCACCAACACTGCATTATTATCCTTAGTAAAAAACTCTGGTGTTTCGTGGTGGAAATGACTGCCACATGGTCAGACCTCCTCATAATTTAGGCCCCTCAGTGAGAGGAACACATTAAGCCATACAGAAGGAAATATGATGGCACTGGGTACAAAGTAGGTCTTTCTTGATGGAGATCTGCCCTCCATCATTGATTCCTTCCTGTATATCCAGGCAGGAGATTGTGCTCCTCCTCTTCAGAGAATACTTCTTCTGTAATGGAAGAGCTTTACAGGATGGCAGGGAATGCCCTGGGAGTTCTGAGCCACTCTAGACACAAGTGTCTGCCTCTCTGAAAACACAAAATATTTCCAGAATCATTTTATTATGAAGTTGTCTGTGACTTTTTGGGAGAAGATGCTTCCGCCCCCCAGCCCAGTGCTAGAATCAAAGCTGGTCATTCAGAAATCCTCCAGGGTCTGATGAAGGTGATTTGTTGCTGTATTTACACCACGCTCCCTCCCTTCTGCTGAGTGTAGTTTTTTCCTGTCCCTTCTCCTGGAGGCCCTGTGCACCAGTACGGGCCCTGGCACTGCCACCTGCCAGTGCCACACGGGCTGGACCGGCGACGGGAAGGTCTGCGTGGCCATAGACAACTGCATGCTGGAGAGCAGAGGGAACTGTCACATCAATGCCAACTGCATTTACATCGGCCCTGGCCAGGTAGGAACAACGTCAAGCTGATGTCTGTCCCCCCTGCGTCTGACAGGGGACGTGACATTTCCTAAGCTGCACTGAGATGGCCTTGGATTGTTTGCCAGAGGTAGAAATTGGGCTGGTCAGCAGCAAAGTCTGCTCCTCTGCTGCCAGAAGAACCAGCTGCAGCTAAAACCACGGCGTGTGCTTGCATGTGGTGAGAAGCACTGACGTGTTTGAGGCTGGTGCTCCACTCTGAAGTGTTTGTGCAGCAAAGGGAAGAGACTACACTAGGTAACACAGCTTGGTATAAGGCAGCAGTCCCTCTTGTCCTCAGGTATCCAGCTCAGGTCCAGACAGCCTGTGGAGGGAGCTGAAGAGCTGGGCATCTTAAGCTAGGAGGGAGGAATGCAGGAGAGGTGGCTTCTCAGGGTGCTGCTCCTCGAGGCGCTTCTCCTCATTGAGCAGGGAGAGCCTTGAACAATGTGCTGAGAAAAGGTGCCAAATCTTTAGCAGATTTTGGTGATGTGAGATATCCAACTGCTCTCCCAGCTATCTTAAAAGCAGGAAGCTTTGAGATGAACCCCTCTTCTCTTTCTGCCATGCACAAAGACTGTGCCATTCCCTGAAAAGCTGGGAAAAAAGATGGAAACTGTCACCTTCAAGTGATGACCCCCCCCGCCAAGCAGTGCAAGGGATAAATGTGCTTGAGCAACCAGGCAGCGTGTGTGCTGTGATAGAGGATGATGCTCTGCTAAGGAAATATCTCCACATTTCTAGGTCTTGAGGGACCAGGAAGAAAACTTGGGAAAATAAATGACAAATAAGTTTTGCTCTCTTATGCCTTTTTTGGGTAGCAAATGAAGATGCTCTGCTAGGTCTACAAAACTGAAATGTCTCTTTCTTGCAGAGCAAGTGTGTCTGCAAGAGGGGTTATGCTGGAGATGGCCACAACTGTGATGCAATCAACCCGTGCCTTATGGACAATGGTGGCTGCCATGACTTGGTGAGTAGCTAATGAGCTGTCCCAAGGCTGTCATGACAGTGGAGGTTCCTCTGCTCCCCAACAGGCATTTTTCAGCCATGGAATCGACAGAATAGTAAGGGTTTTGGTTATATCTTCTTACTGGCATGTCACTAAAGTGTTACAAAGGTGGATCTTCTGATTTTTATGTGTTCACACAAGCAAAGCTACCATTCATGCTTAGCTGCATGAGGTATAAATTCAGTGTCATGGTAAAGGCACCAGAAGGAAAGTGCTCTCCTCTAGCCCAGGCCGTGGAAGGCCAGAGTTCAGTTCCTAGACAGGTGTGACAGGGCATAACCTGTGTTTGTTCTTTAATTTCTCCTTTGCTTGTATTTGGAGGCTACATGTGTACCCCTTGGTGGAGGAGACAGAACCTGCACTTGCCCTGAAGGCTACATCGGGGATGGCATGACATGCTATGGGGACATTCTAAAAGTGAGTAAAAAGCAAATGTCTGAAGTCTTCTTGAGACTGGAGGGAAACGGTTCTGCCCTCACTTTCCTTTTCTCTGTCACCTGAGTTGTCTTCTTCTCCCAGCACCAGCCTGGTAGCACAAGCATGGCCCAGGACCACAGGGGCAGAACTAGTGCCAAGGCAAATCATTGCCAATGAAACCATTGTCATCATCTATTCTTTGTTGTTTGGAAGGTTTTTCAGGTCAGAGTTGCTAGACCCATTTTCTGTCATAAGAAATATCAAACACCATTGTAGATTCAATCCCTGTCCCTGCTCAACATGAGCAATGGCAGGTGAATTGAAAAGTGTTTGTTTATTTGGGAATGTATGTTTTTAATGGCTGAAGATTGTTTTTAGGAGTGCCCATCCCTCCCCACGATACGTGGTGTCTGTAATGTTTGTGAGGCAAGAGGAATGTCCAAGTCATTTTTGCCAGTTTTGCTATTGCAAAGTGCTCCTTTCCCTGACCCTGGGTCTCCCAGTTCTGCAACCTCAGTGCTTTGCAGGGGCAATCCTCCTGTTTTTTCTGTTTGGAAGGAGCTGGCCAGGAATTCCCACTTCACAGGCTTCTATGACTGGGTTAAGGTAAGAACAGCCACGGGATGCCTACACGGGTAAGTTCAGTAGAAGCAAAGTGTCTGTGAACACGTTAGAGGAAGAGCACCTCCATTTACCTTTTTCATTAGAAAAACAAAACAACAGAAAAAAATAAATCGTTACAGAGCAGGCATGTAGAAAAGCTCTGGAGTTTGAGATAGAGTCACGAGTGTGTTTGGGGAGCCTTGTTTCTAGCACAGGAGGAAGGTGGGGCTGTGTTACACTTCATTGGTATGGCTGTATCATTTATAGCTCTTGGCCATCACAAAACAGTGCAGAAGGGAAAGGAAAAGGGGTAGCATTATAATAGCTGTTTTTCAGAAGTTAGATTCCTGAAAGGCTTTGAGAAGTTAGACTGTGGGTTTGTTCCTTTTCTTGTTACTGCTTCCCTGTCTCCTGTGTGGCAAGAACAGAGACACTCTGCAGGCAGCAGCAAGCCTGTAGAGGCATGCTGTGATGTATGGCATCTAGCACAGCTTTAGCTTACCTGTCCCGCTGCATACATTGCTTTTGCCAGGAATAATCTTAGTCTTTCCTCCAAAACTGCTGTTGAGGGTTCAGAAAGGACTTATGGGTATGCTGGAATGTGTTTGAAGTTTAACTGAAGTACAAAAGGAGGGCTCCAAGCAGCAGATTCTCCCTTGCCAAACAGGTGTCATTTCTTTTGGCTAAGTCACTTGTAGCATTCATTGACTGCCAACAGCACTTACCTGCCATGCCCAGGAGATCTGCTGCTGAGCTTGTGCTGTCTTTCTACATGTCCCCTTCACGCAACTGCAAGGGTGAGATGGCTGTTGGATATGTTCTGTGGTACAGATGCAGCAGTGGAATGTCTTATTTGTTCGTTTTTGTGCTTTGGACAACAGAAATCTCTCTTCAGCATCCCAGCAGGAGCCAATGTCACTGTCCTGGTGCCATCGGAGGCAGCTATCAAAAACTTGAACAAGACTGAGAAAGATTTCTGGTTGACTCCCTCCATGCTGCCATTTTTAGTGAGGTGCGAGAAGACTCTTGTCTTTGCTTTCCTACACCAAACAACAAAGCCAGGAACTGAATTTCTGCTTGTACAAGACTAATAAAGAGTTATCTTGAGATAAATACAGAAGCCAGATTAAGCATCTGGCAGGCAAAGAATTTAGTAAGCATTTAAAATGTAACACCACAGCCAATGGCAAGTGGTTTTGTTTTTTACATATTTGCTGAGAGAGATTTCCCCTGTCACACAGATGCAGGTGGCATCAGGGCAAGTAATCCTCTCCATCGTTCCTTCCACGTGATTATCTACTTCATGTAGAAAACATAACTGTTGGGTAGTCCAGTCTTACCTCCCTGTTATTACAAACGGTGTCCTAATATCTTCTTTACCTGCCTTTGTTCCATTCAGGGCCCACTTTCTTGAAGGTGTCTTCACTGCTGAAAAGCTCAAAAAGTACAACAGGCCAGAGTTACCCACCCTCAACCCACAGACCAGATGGCAGATAAACACCAGCACCGGCGTAAGGGTTCCTCACGTAACACATATTTACCAGTATCAAACTGCTCAGGAGTTGCTGTACCCAGTGGGGAGCCTGGCTGGGACACTGATGCCTTCAAACTTAGACATCTTTCCAAAATTGTACCCAGATCAATCACGTGCAACCTTGAACGAACAGTATATTTGTTTTGAACTTGCTAAGCAATTTCTCATCCTTTTGCTTCTCCCTCTGATGCTTTTGCAGGTATTAACCATCCAGAACGCAACTGTAGTTGTCAGTGACATCCCTGCCAGCAATGGCATCATTCATGTCCTCAGTAAGGTACGGAGAGACGTGTGCTACTGGGAGATGCTGTGTTGTAGCAGCTGTGATGGGGCCAAGAAGGAATACAAGTGTGGACGGATAGGAAGGGATATAATGGCAAAACTGTATACTTGCTTATCACAAGGTCCTGACAGATGTTTCCTGTGCAGCGGTTTAATGTTTAAAATATTTGTCTCCAGGCCACATGGGAGGGGAATTCCTCTTCTCTTGACTGACAGAAGAAGAGCTAAGGCTATTGCAGAGTTCTGTAAAATGAGACCTTTTCTAACTGCCCTTCTTGCAAGCAGGGCAGGAGTCTAGTATAATTTTTCCCCAAGGCTCCTTACCCAACCTTGCTTATAAACTTGCTTTTCCACAGGTTTTGTTGCCACCTCCAGGAGATATTCCACCGAGTCCTCCAGGTCTGCAGAAACAGCTTGAGACAGTTGCCTCATTCAGCACATTCAAGGAATTGCTACAGGTAAGTGGTTGAGTTGAGCACTTGCTGTGGTTATCAGAACTGTCTTTTGAGCAAATGCCCACCTTACCTTGTACTGGTGGAGCAAAAGCTGTCCTGCCTGGTGAGAAAAGGGGGACCACCTGCCTGCTACCATTCATGACAGATCTTCTAGGAAAGCTCTTTTGAGCAGCCAAAGAGTTATATGCATACCATTAGATGGCTCTATCATGGACATGTTATTACAGTGGGTGACGACCTGTCTACCACAGGCACTCACATGCTTGTGCAGGGCAGAGAAACTTAGAGGAAGAGGAAAGCTTGTTCAGAATCAAGAAGCTGCACTTATGTCAGCCCAGGAGGTGGAGCAAGCAACCAGATGTGTGTGACTGAGGAGAAGTTGCATATCCTGGTTTTGAGCATTTCCTCTAGTGCTCTTGCCTGTGTAATTGATTTCATGTGTGGTTTCACTTTAAGTGAGTGGAATTGCTAATATTACTGTTTGGACTTTTTTAGAAATACCAGCTCATTGGAAAAATTGAGTCCTCTGAAAAATATACTGTTTTTGTTCCTGGAAATAGTTCCATTGAGGAGTACTGCCAAACTGCCAATGTGACCCAGCTGGTAAGGTCACCGCCTGCTTACAGTTTGAATGTGTATTGTGGTAAGGGACACATCCACTGTCAGATCATAAACCTGAGTTCAGTGGCTTTGAGCATGGAGAGGAGAAGCATATCTGATGCTAAAAGCTGGGACAAATGGGGCAGAGAGAAAGGAGAGGGTTTCCGGGGTGTTGCAGTGAGATATGAAAAGAATATTTATACTCCAAAGGCAAGTTCCTCAGTAGATTTGTCTGTGGATAGATAGCACAATATGTTCCCCTTCCTGACTGGCTGTGACATATCTTTGGCAATTTTCAACCTTTTCAAAGGTTCCAAAAACCATTTATGGCTTCATCCAGTAACAGAGAAGTCGGGTGTGCTTAGTCACCAGTGACAGGGACTTACTAGGCTCTGTGGGCTTAAATAGCCAATACAGATGCTTAGGAACTCTTCTTATGCCATACTTGTAACTGAATTGTAGTCTAGGAAGTCAAAAGAGTTCTAACGTGGGTTTTTGTGGATATAGGACAACAAGACAGTGCAGTACCATGTCATACTGGGAGAAAAGCTCTTGCCCACGGACTTGAGAAGTGGAATTCATAAGAACAGCATGTTAGGGCTCTCCTACTGGCTAATGTTTTACCAAAACAGCACCCAGGTAAGGACGTCTCTTCTGACATTTGAGGAGCTGGCTTGACCTGTCACTTTCTGTGGCTGGTGACTGGATACACCCATTTCTGTTTTGCACTCCCTTACAAATTTACCTACTGTGAGTGCCTGCTAAGCAATCCATGCAAATGATTGTTGAAGGTTATCATCTCAGCCGTTTTCTTCTCCTTTGCAGAAGTTCGTCAACAATATTCCTTTGGATGGAAAATTTCATGAGACGAAGAATGGCATGCTGATTGGAGTTTCACAGGTCCTCCAGATACAGAAGAATCGTTGCACTGCCAATACCACCACCATACAAAAGGTACTGATTGTTACCAAGGAGCTCACCACCATTTCTCCACCTACTGAACCAAACTGATAAATAGCAGACAACATAGCCATTGCTGTGGTCTGCCTGGGAGTCATGGCCAAAGTCCAGCCCACGGGTATCTTGTGGCTCTTGGCCATCTGAAGATTGCAGGGTCAGACAAAGATGTGCCTGCCTTGTTACAGATCAGAAAAAAAGTATCTGCAGCCTTGCATAAAGGAACTCCAGGTCTACAGAAAGCTTTACCCCAGCTCAGAGGCTCAGGGGTGGTGTAGCATGTGATCTCTTGTGGTTTGTTTTGTGGTAGAGTCTCTGGAGTGCAGAAATAAGACCCTGTGTACACCACTGGAGTGCAGGAACAAGAACCTATGTGAAGCCTTTGATAGCAGCCAGGTCCTGAGGGTCATGCATCATGATTTTTCTTCCTTCGGTGTTTTGAGCCATGGAGACAAATACATCTTTGTCTTTGCCCTAGCCAGCAGCCTGTACAGCACCGTTTGTTAATTCAAGATTAGTGTCTTGGTGTGGCATGGGTAGAGGGCACACATGTGACTTGTCCTGTTCTCTGTGCCCTAGTCAAGATGCGGCAAGTGTGAGAAGGGGATCAAGTGTCCTCCTGGGTCAGTTCTTGTGGTGAGTCCTTGATTAATGTGACATCTCACAGAGTGTTTGCAGACAGTGCTTTGATGCTCTTTTACTGCTCTATAGATGTTATCTCAATACCTGAAAAAATGTGTGCTTGAGTCCTTCTGTGGCTCATTCATGAGCGAGGCTGGTAAGAGAAAGCAGAAACCAAGAGAAGGCAGAAAACAAGGGAGGCACAGGCAAGAAAAACACAAATATGAAACATGAGGCTCCTTACAGAGCTGGCACCAGGCTTTGCCTGAATTTCAGGAGCCCTTCAGAGCATGCAGCGTGGGGAGTTTCCCCCCTTAGCAGGGGAGAAGAGATGGCTTTTTTTCATCTTTTACTCTTTTGATGTTATGATCAAAGAAAACCAGTTTAGGGCTGTCAATAGCAATGTCCCAGCCTGGACCACTGACTTATTTACCCAGATGGGTTGGTTGTGTCTGCAGCTTGTTTGTGAGCAAGTAACAAACATTTCCAGAGAGGAAAACTACTAAACATGGCAACTCCATGCTGGCTATGGACTACCTACCAGTCAGATCTGGCTTCTTAGGCTTTATTACTTTAGTCTATGCCCAAAAGTTTCCCATTAATTTTTCTCAGTATTCATACTGACATGTGTATGATGGATTCGGCAGGTGACAAATCAGACTCTGTGTGGTGATAACACGTGCAGAGACATCTCATTGGTCTCAGCTCTGGACAGTCCAAATTTTTAGGGCTGTTCCCATAGGATAAAAAGCCTTGTTCCTCTGTTAGGGGAGAACACTGCCATATGTCCCAAAATGTACAATGTTTGTGTAAATATTGTGATCTCTTCTACTTGTACCTATGTTAATTATATCTGCAGGAATTGCCAGGAAGCAAGAATCTCGCTCGCTGTGAATTACGCTCTGGGGATTCAGGAGTACTTGGCTGCCACTTCACCTGTGCTAAAGTTTCTCTGGTAAGAAAAACATTTGCCTCAGATTCATTTTGACAAAAGCAAGATGAGTATTAGAAATACAGCCATGGAAATACAGCCTGGGCTGAAGTCCTGGCTGTATTTGTGTCATTGCCTGGGCTCATCGCTCTCCATCCTGGAGACAGAGGGCACAGGAGCAAAACCAGCCCTGTGGAAATGTCTTCACAGTTATGGATTGCGGTCTGCCACTCTGGTACTGTTGCTTAGTATTTTGTCCTGCAGAGGATGAGAAGGAGTTGAATGTTTGCAGTCTGGTTTCCTAAGGAAATGAGACATGAGTGATGGTATTTTGCTTGTGCATGTGCCTTCCTGAATAACTAACTGGAGCCCAACCAAAGGGAGGAGCAGAAGGTCTCACACTATTATGGCCCCTAACACTTGTGTGAAAAATGAGTGGCTGGGAGAAAACACTTGAAGAGGAAATGGTAAAAGAAAGACTTGTGTGAGTTTGAGCTCTTACAGGTATTGAAGCATCTCCCTGGATTGGGAGATTGAGGAGAAGGGAGAGAGGGAGCTGGACATACACTGCTCACATGCAGAGCTTCAGTCAGCACTTGTACCTCACGGGGCACTTCTGCCGCCCTTTGTTAGATGATATTTCTCTTAGTCTGTACTTTCGAATTTGGTCTCATCGTGGTTTCCTCCCTCCATGGGTGGATGCAGAAAGAAATGAGAGCAGTTAAATCAGGCCTCTGAACCAAATCACCTTCTGGCAGACCCTCCCTCTGCCCACCGAAGTATCTTACTGGTGGGACACACTAGGGACACAGGCAGAATCTAGGCTGGAGCTAACATTTGTGTTACTCACCAAACGGCCATCGTTGCTCCAGGGTAGTTCAGACCTTTACATGGAGCTCTGGGCAACAGAGCACACCATTTTATTGTGTCCACTCCACCCGATCTGCACACACCTGGCCCTTGCATGCATTGTCAGAAATTATGGCTGTCACATAGGTAAAGGAACATAGTCACTTCTGCCATACAGCCGTACCTTGGCTGTGCTGCACAAGGCAGCTCACCCAAAATTGTTCTTGTTGGTTCTCCAGAGGTCCGTCTGCTGCCCCGGCTACTATGGACACATGTGTGAGATGTGCCCAGGGAAGCCAGGCCAGTGGTGCTCCGGGAACGGGGAATGCCAGGACGGCATGGAGGGCAGCGGGGAGTGCCAGTGCCTGGAGGGCTTCCACGGCACTGCCTGTGAGATGTGTGAGGTGGGCCGATACGGAGCTGACTGCAAATCAGGTGATCTGGTGGCTACTGTGGCTTGTCTCTACTGTCCCGCTTGCGAGGGGAGGAATGTGGTCATGTCGCAGCTCTTGAGAAGGGTGGTGTGAGGAAAGAAACGTCCCAGGACCTCCAAGATGGACGAACAGCTGCCAGGCCACTGAGAGAGGGATGGTGGGAGCGAGCGCCTGAGGTCAGCCAGAGGAGTGGCCCCATTTTTCACCCTCAAAATAAGGCACGACTGTGCTGTGCCACCCATCCCGCTGCCACCCTAACTGCAGAAAGCAGAGGCAGGTGGACTGCTCCTGGGCTTTTTGGCCCGGTAGCAAAGGAACAAGAGATGATACTCCTGTGATGTTTTCCCTACGGCAGTTCGATGCATTGGATTAGGAACAGAGCAGGCAGTGAAATGGCAGCAAGACTCTGCTTGTGAGACGTGATTGCTTTGCCAGGGACGAGTGTGTGTGTTTTCCCTGCAGAATGTGCCTGTGACAATGGCATATGTAACGACGGGCTGCAAGGGGACGGGAGCTGCGAGTGCTTCCCAGGCTGGACGGGCCCTACATGCCAAGAAAGTACGTGAGTGTGAAGGGGCTTATGGTGCAATGTGGACTTCTTGGCAGAGAAATCTCCATGATACTCTTTAGTTGCCAGAGCAATTCTGCATTAACTGAGCAAGGTGATCACGGTCACGTGTACTTTGCATCTCCCCAAAGGCTTACCAGCTTGTGCTAGCTCATTCCTGCACACAAGCTGCATTGTGGTGTGACTTCCTCAACAGCACATGAGCCCTTGAGTTATTTGGGTGAAATTAATCTAGAGAAAAGCACATCACCTGCTTCCGTCTCCACTGAGATTTGAGGCACCTCAAGAAAACCCCTTGCCCTGGGAAAGAGAGAGATGGAAGCTCCCAGCCAAATTGGGTTGATCATGACTCCTGTTACTTGTCTAAGAAGGTGACGGAATGGTTAAAGGGCCCCAATCTGTCTTCTGAGTTATTTTACTGCTCACACAGATGTTGATTTAGGTGAGCTCAGGCCACGGTCTGCAGTTCTCAATAAATCTGTCACTGTATGTCAAAGTAGTACGTGGAAGATGGTTGCTCCTGGGATCTGGGATTATGATTACAACTGGGGTGGAGAAGAATCTGACCTCCTAAATACTTCAGGATTTTAAAGGTTTGCACACAAAGATTGATTTTTGTAGCGAAGTCAAATGCTTTGGGGACATTTAGAAAGGGCAACTGGGTGGAGCTGTCCTATCTAGTGTAAACGTAAAGCGTGAAACAAGTTCAGCTTTTTGCTTTGAAGGGGGCAAAGCCAGATGGCCCTGTGTGTCAGGGCTAATGAGGTTCCATCCCCAGCAGTGTGGAGGCCATGCAGGTAGGCTCAAATTGAACCATGACCTCATATAGAGAACATCAAATTTACTCTATTGCAAAGTGCCAAAACATAAATCCTGTGAGGTTTTCCTGCTGCCACGTAGGACAGGGGAGCTACCATAACTTCTGGGGTGTCCCATCTTCAGTCAGGGCACCCCAAGTGTGGCAGTGAGGCTGTTGGCAGGGTCCTTTACTCTAGATGGCAAAAATGGCCCCAGCAAGTGCTAAATTGAAAGTGCCAGCTCATGTTTGTGTTTTCTCTTGCAGGAATCAAGATTGACTTGTGCAATAACACTTGCCATCAAATGGCCAAGTAAGTACAGACAAGGAGCTGGGTGATTCTGAGGAAGCCACGTGTGTTCATATGTGTTTTACACAGAGGTAGTTCTGTGTTTAGGGCTTTGCAGAGGGCTGGGAGAAGGTGCCTGCTCATTCAACATGCATAAATGTCATTTCCATTCTGGGAACTCTGTGGTGCCAAGCTGCATCCAGTTTCCCCAAGAATTTTGTCTGTCTGAGCATAAATTCTTTCCAAATTCCTTCTGCACGTGTGGATGGGAGAAAGCAGAGACCCCAGACTACTCCAAGTCTGGCCTTACTCATGGAGCAAATCAACCAGCCATCCAAAAGCCCCTTCTGCCTTGCCTGCCCCTCCAAACAATTAAATAAGATGATGGACTGTGATTACTCCCACTTGCTACATTCTCCATGCATTTTCTGGTCTCCTGTTTCCTGGTACCAGGACCCAGCCATCTCCATTGTACTGTGCAGGAGCAGATGGGCATGGTGAAGGTGCACTGTGTGAGGTGGGAAGCCTGTGCCCAGATGCCAGCTCCCTGGCCAGCATGACTTGAGTATTTGATGCTGTAAAGAAATACAGAGCAACCTCAGGCGTGTTCTCCTGTGGTCACTGTGGTCTCTAACTTTCGTGTGCCAGACTTGTATAGTGTTTCCTACTGGTCAGGCAAATCAGGAGGTGTCATCAATGATTGTTTATCCCTCTCTTGTTTCAGCTGCCTCAACAGTTCCACAGATTCCTCACCTATGTGCTTCTGCTCTGCTGGATACACAGGGAATGGGACCCATTGCACGGGTATGTCCAGCAAGTGTGGGCAAAATTCAAGGTTTGCAAACATTTGTTGAAGCTATGCAAAGACGAGGGGTTGGTCTGTGGGATCATTCAAATGCTTTTCCTCTCAGCTATCCACCATAATCTCTACCATGCTTTGGTAGAGAAGCTTTCCAGTCCAGAGCTTCACCCAGGATACTCTGAAGTTGCTAGAGCCTGTGAGAGAGGGGTAAAAAGGCAGGCAAGTGTAGCAGGGCAGTTCCTACTGCTTGTGGGGAGAGATGCACATGAATGGGTTGCATTAGTTCTGATGTCACAGCAATGGTGGCAAAAATATAACAGTTTTGGTCATGAGTCTCCCCTAGAATTTTGTGCCCTTCCTATTTGCTGGCCATGCCAAAATCAAGTAGAAGCAGTGCAGCAGTTGTGCCAAAATGAGGTAGGATTTCGGGATACTGCTCAAGAGCTGCATACAAACCTGGTCTACCTCAAAACCAGACAGACAAGAAAAAAACCACCCAGAGTGATTAAATTCTAGCAGTCAAAACACTGGTAGACATCAACAGCTTCTTCTCAGTATTATCCTTGTTTGAAAATGAAGGGGGAAAAAAACTGAAAACCCCCAACATTTACACTGTGCAAGCAAATATTTTCTTTCTCCTCTAACCATTATTCCTCAGTGAGAAAATACTGTGACAGAGAGACTTGCTAGTCCAGTTTGAGGGTTACTTAAGCTCTGCATGACTTTGGTCTGGCCTCTTTCAGCTCCAGATGAGTCCCCATGCCTTTAAAAGACCTACAGTCTCATGGAGAAACAAAGGGATTTTAATAAGATGATGTGATTTTTGTGAAGATGGAGGATGATTCTGGCACAGTTCATCTTTCCTAGATGCTCTGAGCTGATTCTGCTTCTCTTGTCCGTGGTCACAGAAATAGATCCATGCACTATGGATCATGGTGGCTGCTCCATCCATGCCGTGTGTACTAAAGTGTCCCCAGGAGAGAGAACCTGTGTTTGTAAGGAAGGCTACGCTGGAGATGGGATGCTCTGCATGGGTGAGTGCTCAGGGCATGTTTTGACGACAGTGGTGAGGCGTCATCCATGCAAAGGGAATTTCAGACTAAAAGCCTTAAAATTTCAGGTTAAAGTGTTGACTAACTCAATTCTTCTTTCACTTTGTCCATGCAGTGATTACTTCAAAGCAAGAAACTGCTGGCTAATCTTGTTTCAACTGTATTTCTGGGTTCTGTTGAGGCACATGTATAAACACGTGTATGTGTGTACATACATACCTGTAGATACGTGCTCAATGCTCTCCCAAGTTATGACTGGTGAAGTGGTCATCGCTGTCCCAGCACAGTGCCACCCAAAACTGGGCAGAGAGCTCACGCTGCCCTTGGCACCTGTCTTGCTGGATGGCCTGAGACCAGTGTTTTAGTCTCACACCAAAAGAGCCCTGAGAGGTTTCCTGCCATGGTGCACACTGTGGAGAGGGATAGAGACAGAGGGTGAGGGCAGTCTCCCACAGTGGTCTTGAGATGGAGATGGATCTGTGGGAGGGCCCACTGCTCTCGTAGCCTTTAAAGCACACCCAGGCAGGTGGGGGATTTTCTGTGGGCAGATGTACCACAACTCGGAGACCTGCACGTGGCAGGAGTAGAACTTGCAGTTGTACCCTATTCCTTTGCTATCACAAGTCATTTTTCCACCAGAATGTTTCCCAAGCTGGGAAGGTCCTCTCTGTTGCTTTCCTAATACCTCTTTGGGTCACCAATTCCCGGCTGCCTTGAGCAGCCCTCAGAAATAATGTGGCCTTACTGTTTTGCTGCAGAAATCGATCTCTGTCTCGAAAGCAATGGGGGCTGCCACACCCACGCAGAGTGCATTAAAACAGGTCCACGGAAGGTGAGTATGCAAGTTGGGTGTCAGGGCAATGTTATTCTGGAGGTGGTCACAGTTCTTCTCTTAGAGCTCTCCTCTTCTCTAAGAGAAGCATAATTCTCTTAGAGACAGTCCTCTCCATTGCAGTGTGCTGCCTTGTGCTTATCACATTCCATGTAGAAAAGTGGCCTGGGAAGGGCATGAAAAAATTGCTGTTTCCTTGAAATCAGATGCCTTCTGTTGGCCAGAGGCTGGAGGCAGTCTCAGGTTATATTTGTTGTTAAAGCAAGCATAGTTATTCATGGATGCAGCAATGGGTATTGTTCCATCCAGCTCAGCTATTGGATGTTTTCTTTCTTGGGTCCAAGCTTCAGACTGAGCATCTGCTCTCCCTCCAGGTTGCCTGCAACTGTCTTCCTGGTTACAGTGGCGATGGCGTGAGCCAGTGTAACCCCATCAACTTGTGTGAACAGGTACGTCGGCCTTTTGCTGTTACCAGAGGTGAAGGCCACAGCCCTGAAGCATTTATTTCTCACAGCAGTTAAGAGCAAGAGCAGGGTTACCCTGCTGGTTTAGAGATGGCTGCTTTACCTTTTCACATACCAAAGGGATTTGCGTGTTTGGTTCCATTGCCTCTCGCACCTCTCCCAATGACCTGCAAGTATGTTGGTCACCTGGCACTCCGTCCTGTGGGAAGAGCAGTGTGGAAACAGTGGCATGGAGTTGGACACGTGGGCTTGTTTCTCTGCATCCATTTTGTGTGGGACATGCTCGAAAGCTTAAGAGCCATCTGTGCTCCCTGCATTGCTGCCATGTCAAAATGTCTCTCTGAATCATGGGCTTTGCTAGGGCTATGGGTTCCAAAATAAGGTGTGAAAGTCTTGTTTCATGGGAGGATTTGTTGCTGAAAAGCCCTTGAGGGTTTCGGGGAGGTTTATTCTAAGCCACTAGACAGCTGAGAGGAATGTTTTTCTTTCCTCTGGGCTGGGTGCAGTTAGGAGCTCTCACATGCAAGTGGCCATCCAAACTGTTGGTAGTGCCCCTCCCTGTGAGCCTTTTCCTTTTCTTCCCAGAACAATGGAGGCTGTAGCCCGTTTGGGCTCTGCAAGTACACAGGGCCTGGCACCCGAAACTGCTCCTGCTCCTGGCACAGTGTTGGAGATGGCTTCACCTGCCGTGGCAAAGTGTATCTGGTGAGAAGCATGCACAGCATCTTTCGTGTTCCATCCCCTTCCCCTGCAGCAAACTCCCTCTCACATGTGAGCTGCAGGTGAGCAGATCTGTAGTGTCCTATTGGCATGTGTGTGGTGCAGGAGCAGGGGCAGGTGCTTTGAGGCAAACTAGGCATAAATCGTGGGTGTATGTGGTGTGCCAGCTGTGGGAGAGGATCACAGCAAAGCCAAAAGGGTTCACAATGTGAACACTCTGCTGCTCTATGTGCAGCATGGGCCATAGCTCCAGGGTGCTGTTTTTTTAATGCTATGAGCAAATGGGAGTAATTTTTTCCCAAGGGAACCCACTTCTCTCATTCTGTGGGATCAGGGCAGGTAGGTATCTCCTGTGGCCATGCCAGGGCTCAGGATCCACTTTGGAGGGCAGCAGTGTGTCTCCAGCTCTGTTGCCAATACAGCAGCTGTTCTTGGGCAAACTGGTGAACTTCTCTGGTAGTGGCAAATAAAATTGTCATCCCCACAGCAGAGCTGGGAGAAATGAGATGGACTCAGTTCTGTGCTTCTGCTCTTACTGAAAGCTAATGTGGTAAGGAGAGGGAGTTTGCCCTGCCAAGCCTGTGCCTGCCACTGGACAGTGTCCCACAGCTGGTAGTGGCAGCACAGTGAGGTTAAAGCAGAAGTTTTGTGAAGCACTCGAGGTGCCCCATGAGCACAGGGGCAGTTAAACCTAGGAGACAGCTGCTGCAGAAACAGGCAGCTTTCATCTCTGTCTGCTCCATCCTGCAGCACGTCTGGATGTGAATGGTCCAAACAGAGGTAACTGCCCGCTTTGGAACCTCCACATCATCCATGCCCACAGTACTGGCAAGGGAAGGAGGGAAAGGTCACCATGGTGTGTCAGAACTGGGGTGGGTCAGTGACCTGGAGTGGAAGGAGCAGGTCACCATGCTGGCTGGCAAGAAGCAAGTAGAAAAGACTGCTAACAAGAGCTGTTTCTCTTTGTTTAAGGAACTTGGAAGGACTGAAGACGCATCCGTGTTCTTTAAGATGATACTGGTTAGTGACAAACAGCTTTGCTGCTGTCTCTGTGGAGTAAATCCTACTTCTTCTGCAAAGGATCTTGCTAACTGGAACTGTGTTTCCTGTTTTCCTTCCCACAAACGCTCTCCTACCACAGGCAGAAAGTATCAAGGAGCTCAGTGGGACAGGGCCTTTCACTGTCTTTGTGCCCCGGACAGATTTCATAGGGAACACCACAACGGTAAGTGTCCTCCCATTCCACATGCTGGCAGGTGCTTGGCAAGCTCCAGTTGTGGCAACATCCCCTCTGGAGCTGTGCTGCCCAGTGAATGGAAGCAAAGGAGCTGTACTGCAGAGGTTTAAAGGTATTCCCCATTCTCCATCAGGGTAAGAGCAGGGGTTTGGAGGCCAGCTCACTGCAGAGGGATGAACATGGCTCCTGTTGTAAGGAGACCCTTATTGGAAACCCTGTCTCATGGTCCTCAGAGCCACCCAGTGATGCATGGTGACTTTTGTTGCCCATGGCTATCAGGGGCTGGTAACAGCCAGGCTTCAAGGCATCTATGACAACGACCTCTTATTCCTTCTCTGTGCCCCAGGCCCTGCCATTCCACTTTCACTTGTCTCTTCCTTCTAGTCCCAACAAGTGTGATGTTTGGGGCAAGTGGAGACCTGAGAGAGAGATCCTTTTCATGACTCTGTGAACCAAGTCCTTAACTAACAGCTTTTTGATGTTGGTGTAATGGAATACCTTGATGCCACCACTGACAAGTCCTGTTGTGCAGCTTCACCTTGCTAGTCCAACCTTTTTCACATGGGTCCCCTGTACACCCAATACAGGAACAATTCCCAGTGACCACGTCTTCCAAGTGTCACTTCCTCAAGGCCAATATGGTCATTTGCCCTCCGTCAAGGGACCTGAATGCTGGTTTTGTAAAGCTGGTTCAACTTTCCCAGAGCTCTCAAATGGTTTTCTGCATTCACTGTGTTTGGGGGGGACTCGCTTTCCTGCAGGGACGTAGCAGGGGGGGATGTGGGAAACCCAGGTCTCCCCCACGGGGTCTGAGGACCCCCTGCAAGACACAGTGTCCCCAGTGTGGCCTCATTCTTGTTTTCTGTCTGTAGTTTGAGGAGTGGAGGAGCAGAGGTCTCCTCCAGGACCTGCTTCGCTACCACATGGTGGGTTGCCGGAAGTTGCTGTCCAGTGACCTGGAAGCCCAGGAGACCCTTACGTCTTTATCTGGCCACAAAATAAAGATCACAGTGAAAGAGGTACTTCTCTGCCACAATTCCCTTCCCCATCCCACTTGTCAGGATGTCACTTTTGCCATCGTTTGAAGGCCACCGTGGTTGTGGCAATTGACTTGCCTAGGGCCCACAGGGCAGTGCCCTGGGTGTGACCTCCTCATCACATCCCTTCTCTCTCAGAACAGCATCTATCTCAATGAGGAAGCCAAAGTGGTTGTGAGTGACGTTGTTGGCATGAACGGGGTCATTCATTTCATCGACAAGCTCCTCATTCCAAGTGACCTGGTGGACCGCAACATCTCTTCAAAGAGCTCACAGGTGAGGCTGGAGCAGTGGCTGTGCCCTGGTGGAGACAGGACTGGGATCTTTTTTGCAGCAGCTGCCAACCATCACATGTCTTTTCCAGCCCAGAGCAGACTGCAACGGGAGATTGCCAGTGTCTCTCTGGTACCCTTGAAGAGTGCACTAGGAGCTCATAGCTCCTCTGTTTTACAGTAAATAATATGTCTTCTGTACAGCACAACAAAGTGCTGAAGTTCATCCCAGCTCCTGCCACAGCAGCACCTACCCAGCGTGGATCAGCAAAGCGGTGGCTGCTGAATGCTGGCGCTTGCCAGGCTGCTGCAGTTGTTAAACTGCCTGGTTTCTCCTCTGCATTGCTGCTCCAGGTCCCGGAGGAGGACCTCTTAGCCACGGTGGTTTGCTTTCTTCCTTCTGCAGCGAAACATCACGGAAGTGGCAGAGGCCTTTGGGTACACCATTTATAGCCAGCTGCTGCAGGTGAGCCTCCAGAGCCCTGCCACCCTGTGGGGAGGTGGGCTGTACCATGGGCATGCTCAGCTGGGGCTTCTGGCTTCTCCTTTGCACCCCCTCTTCTCTCATTCAGGACGCAGAGCTGCTGCCACTGGTTAGTGACCCCCTGCACAGACCCTTCACCATGCTGTGGCCCACAGATGCTGCATTCAGTGGCCTCTCCGAGAAAAGGCAGAAGTGGCTTTACCGCAGAGAGCATCGGGATGTGCTGGCCTCCTACCTCAAAGCACACATGATCAGGGACACCAAGGTAAACGTGGCAACAAAAAGGCTCCTGCCTCCTGAGGCCACGTGTAGTGCCACCACCAGCCTGTGGTTGCCCCAGAGCAACCTTTCCCAGTATTTTGCTGCTGTAGAACATGCAGCATATTAGAATATATTAGAATATGGGAGAAGAGCCTGACCCTCACCTTGCTACAACCTCCTTTCAGGCAGTTGCAGAGAGCAATAAGGTCTCCTCTGGGCCTCCTTGCCTCCAGGCTAAACAACCCCAGGTCACTCAGCTGCTCCTCACAAGACATGTTCTCTACACCTTTCTGCAGATTCGTTGCCCTTCTCTGGACACGCTCCAGCACCTCAGTGTCCTTCTTTTAGCAAGGGGCCCAGAACTGAACACAGTATTCAAGGTGCAGCCTCACCAGCACTGAATACAGAGGTAGTTAGTCTTGAGAAGACCTAATGCTGTTTGAGCTTTTGGGGCAACCACTGCTTCATCACATGGTGCAGCATGGCTGAGCTTCTTGGGGAGGCCACATCACCCCCAGAGCAGCAACACAAGGCTCGCAAACAGGCTCTTGTCTATAGGGGTGATGGAGAAGGGAAGATTCCAGCTGAGCAAAACCAGGGTCTGCTTATGCACACTGGCCTCTCGTTGTTCAGGAATCTGGGACTGACCCAGCATAGTTACGCTGTTCCACCCACACCGGCTTCACGTGTTGCCATGTCACACCACTCCCTGCCAGCCCCCTTCTTAGTGTGGCTGCTGACTCCTGTCCTCACCAGAGAGCATCCCCTCAGAAGGACGAACTGCCAGGTTTGCCGGTCTCTCCCTTCATATTCTCTTTTTATCCTCTTAGATTGTTGCTGGAAACATGCCCCAGGTTGAATCCATACGGACCATGCATGGCTCCACCATCTCATTCAGCTGCAGCAAAACCCACGTGGTGAGTGATGGCAACGGTGGGCTTGGCTTTTTACTGAGCAAGTGTCCCTGGGCATAGCCACGGGGCAAGTGATGCTCCATGTTGGTCACTTGCAGGAAGTGAACACAGGGTTGGGGTGTCTGCAGGCTGAGACACCCCTTTCCCCTGGCTACAGCTGAGCCTGTAGAGAGGCTCAAGACTGCAGCCAGCCAGGTGGGAGGCGTGGAGCATGTGGTACCTGCACATGCACTTCATGATGAGCAGGTTGAGGAGCCAACCACATGGTGCCATAACCTTTACAGAGCACGTGTTTCATGGCCAGAGGCTATTTCTTAGGAAAGATGGCCATGAGAAGTGGCAATCAGGAAGGGTGGTCAGGGGCACAGGGGGTGACAGTCATGACAGTCAAAACCAAAAACCTTTGAGTGGTGCAGCCAAGACACAGGATGTGCCAGGATCACAAGTTGTTTCCTTCATCTGGTAGGGAGAGCTTCTGGTGGGGAACGGTGATGCCACCATCATCCAGAGGCACATGGAATTCAACGGGGGCATTGCTCATGGCATCGATAGGCTGTTGGAGCCGCCGGACCTGGGATCTCGGTGTGATGAGTTCACCTTTGTTGAGCTGCAGGTGAGCACTTGTGATGAGACCAATGAAGATCTGTGCCACCTGCTGAGGCCCATGCCTGGGAAGAGGGGTGTCGGGATGGCTGCAACTTTTCCTCAGCAAGGCTCCAAGCAGCTAAGAGGAAAAGCACGTAGTAAGTTGCTGTGAGGTTTCTTTCTCCCCTCCACAGGGATCTACAGAGAGCTGCGGACTCTGTGGCTTCGAGCCCCCGTGCCCTGCTGGCTCCGTTCAACGGGTAAAGCTCTCAGCTTTGTCACCAAGAGGCCTGTTTCAGGGCTGATGACAACACCCCACGCCTCTCATGTTCTAGCAGCAAAGTGAAGGCACACCTGCATGTCCCTCAGCTCGGACACATGGTCCATGCCTTGCCCCAGGAGCAGGAGCTGGGCTGAACAGGGGGTCAAGGGCTCCAATGGGCTTTGCTTGGACAATCCCCATATGGGTGACAGCGGCTGCAGCAGCACTGGGGGCTTCTCTGGTGCTTCATAGTGAAAGAGCTCAGCCTGGCTGCTGGAGATGGAGCAGGGACCAGAAGGTGAGCAGCCGTGGGGGCAGTGGTTGTACTCCACGCTGTATCTCCTGCTGTCTCACTCTGCCAGGCCTCTGGCATGTCCCTGAGGTACGGATGTGGCCCCTCTGTCACCAGCACCATTGCATGTTAGGAAGCCTCTGTTACTTGTCATAAAACTGAATGAATAGCTCAAGAGAAGCCAAGGTCAGATGTCAGTGGCCAACTTGGCAAACTCCATGTTTTGCCTGTTTCCTCCCAGGGGGACACCAAGCGCTGCTACTATTACAGAAACCAGCTGCTCAGAAACACTTTTCTCTTTCACCGGAACTCCCTGTTGCGGCAACCCTCCCCGTGGGACACCTTCAGAAGACACTTGTCTTCCAGGGGGCCTCTGAAAAGAGGCTGCAGGAGGAGCTGTGTTTCCAACCAGTGGGTCCCTCAGTGCTGTGCAAATCACTACGGCCGTGACTGTCGGGGTAAGGAGCCACGTGAGCCTTTCCCACCTCAGCCCTTTCTCTTGTGGGAAGGTGTCATTCCTGGTTCGGCACAGACATCTGGTGTCCAGCAGTGTGCTTCCCTGGAGAAGGGAGGGCAAAACCCCAGGCAGGGCCCTCCCAGGCTGTAGAGAGTTCAGGGAATGATCCCCTGGGAGTTGATATGGATGGTATGATAACAGGGATTTCCCTTTCCTTGGAGAAACACTTGTCCCCACGGAAAGCTCTGGGCACAGTGCTGCTGGCGGTGGCTCTCAGGCATGTCACTCACCCCTAGATGTTGTCAATGCTCAAGTTCTCCCTGGCATCTGCTCTCTGCACTTTGTGCATGGGCAGCTTCCACGTCCTTGGATGAGCCTGCTGGCAGATTAGCATGGGGTTGGGCAGCACAGGGGCTTCCCAGGCTAGAAGCTGTGCCAAATTTGTCCCTTTTGCCCCTGTTCCTAAGGTTTATTGTCATGGGATGTCCCCAGCACTCATTCCCCAGACCGCCAACCTGGCTCCGCAGTCTGAGCACCCTATAAGCAGCAGCTCACGTGGCACCCAGGGTGCAGGCTCTGCCTGGGGGGCGGTGGGGGGCTCCCCTCCAGCACAGGGTCACTTTGTCACCACAGCCTCACTAAGGTGCCCCATTTGCAGCGTGCCCAGGAGGGCCGGAGGCACCGTGCGGTAACCGCGGGACCTGCGATGACAGAATCGGTGGTTCGGGGAGCTGCAAGTGCAGCCAGGCTTTCATCGGGACCAGCTGCGAGCTGTGTGCCCCCGGCAGATACGGGCCAGAGTGCCAAGGTAAAGGGGGAGCTGGCAGGGGGCAGCAATGCAGAGTTTGAGAAGGCTCGGTGGCACACAGCCGGAGCTGTGGCCAGGGCAGTCGTGCTGCTGCTGGCCTCACTTCTGTGCCGAGGCCCCTGTGACAAAGACCTCTTCAAGCACAGCTGAGAGCCCCAGTCTGGCAGAAAGTATTAAGATGTGTTTTCAGCTGGGGGACAAATCCCTAAGTTGTAATGAACCGGGTACAGAAAGAGCATCTCCTGGGACATGCTCAGGAGGGACCTGTGCCCTGCGAGGCAAAGACAAAGGGAGGCCCCCATCCTCCCATCCCAAGCTGGCCTTACGAGGTCTCTAGGAATGTTTTTGATAGCTGTATGTTTGCAGGGACTCAGAGTGAAAAAAACGCATCTCTAGACATGCCCAGGGGAGAGGTTTGATGGGGGTTTGTGGGTGCAGAGAGGCTTCCCCTCCCCATAAAGGGTCCGTGTTGCAGAGCGGGTCCGGGGTGGCAATGACAGGAAGGGATGGGTACGTGCCACCATGCCTGCCTTCATGCATGGCCCACACAAGCCCCATTGCTGTCCCAGGGCCCGAGTGTGGCCCTTCAGTGCTGCTGAGACAGATGCCCCAACAGCGTTTTTACCATTCCTCACAGAGTGTAACTGTACCGAGAACGGTGTGTGCAACGGAGGACTGCACGGGGACGGCTTCTGCTTCTGTGCCGAGGGCTGGACTGGAGACCACTGCGAAACCAGACTAGGTGGGGGCTGCCAAGCCCCACAACCCACTTACTCCCTGGGACCCTGTGCCATATGGACACTCCCCCCATAGCTGGGTTGTTCAAGCAGCATCAGAAATACCACCAAAAAGGAGTTTCCAGTTGTGGGGCTCATCCTCAGACCTGGCCCATGCTGGTGAATTTCACAGGGGTTGGGGTGTGGAGGAGGAGGAAAGCTCCACTTGATTGTGAACTTGAGCTCAAAGGTGCTCCAAGAAGAGCTTGGGGGTGAGGTGAAGGTCTGAGGTGTGTCTGACGGAGTAATAGTCCTCTGCAGAAAAGCAGAAAAGAGAGGGGGGAGGGGAGGGAGCAGGAGGGATCGTGGGGCAGGTGTCCTGGAGCAGAGGTTGGTGATGGTGGCCATGCCCATTGTCACAGCCCCTGCATCCTTCTGACCTGCGTGTGTTCTGGTTGCAGTCATGACGCCCACCTGCTCCCCACCGTGCCACCCCCAGGCCGTCTGCCGCGCCAACAACCTCTGCGAATGCAACTTGCACTACGAAGGCGATGGGAGAACGTGCTCAGGTAGGGAGGAGCCACGCGGGGCCACGGTGGAGGGCTGGTTAGCCACAGGGAAAGCCGACAAAAAAAAAACAAGAAGGGAAACAGCTGACCCCCTCCCGTTAGCCATATCGATGTGACGGCTGGCAGAACAGACAGACACCCCCCCCAGGACATCCAGCAAGGTGTTTAACGGAAGGCTTTTACCCCGCAGTGCTGGACATGTGCAGCCAGGACAACGGGGGGTGCGCCAGGCACGCGCAGTGCACGCAGGTCGGGGTGAACGTCTCCTGTGCCTGCGCTCCCGGGTACGGCGGCGACGGCCACGTCTGTGACCCCATCGATCGC